TACGAAAGGATTAATGACATACTTTGTGGAAATTTAAAGATATGCTAACTATAAACCAAAAACCAATTGGACAAGAAACTGAATATTTCTAAAAAAACAAAATAAATCCACCATGTGCCTGCTTCTAATAAATCTCAATGGATTTGATCATCCTTACTAGATGTGCAACTAAAACTAAACTACTTTAAAAATAAAATGCTTGCTGAGCGCAGCCTGATACGACAGCAGAGGTCGAACCCTGAATAGTTGGGGTAAGGTTGAACACAATATTCAAGCTTAATACTGTCTGAATTTGGATTGCACAATACTGTGCAATTGAAGATTTCTTGTTGGAACTTTTCAAAAAATTTGAAATTTCAAAAATTTAAAAGAAAAAATAATATGAACCCCCTAAAAAAATTTGAAAAAAAACCCCACCCCTAACTTTTTGAATCCCCTCTTGGAGTACTTACCCCCAAACTCAATCCCAGCCTTTCCTTTGTGATAAGGAACCTTGTAGTACAATTTAAGAGAGATCCATACACTAAAACAAAAGTTATTGTCTGGAAACTAGAAAAATGCTTGTTTTTGGCCCCTTTTTTGCCCCCAATTCCTGTATGTTTCGGGCAATAACCCCTAAACTCAATCCCAGTCTTCCCTTTGTGATATGGAACCTTGTGGTACAATTTCAGAGTGATCCATACACTTACACACAAGTTATTGTCCGGAAACTACAAAAATGCTTGTTTTTGGCCCCTTTTTTGCCCCCAATTCCTGTATGTTTCGGGCAATAACCCCTAAACTCAATCCCAGTCTTCCCTTTGTGATATGGAACCTTGTGGTACAATTTCAGAGAGATCCATACACTTACACACAAGTTATTGTCCGGAAACTACAAAAATGCTTGTTTTTGGCCCCTAATTCCTAAACTGTTGGTACCATAACCCCCAAAATCAATCCCAACCTTCCTTTCGTGGTATTGAACCTTCTTGTAAAATGTCATAGAGATCCATTCACTTAAACTAAAGTTATTGTCAGGAAACCAAATGTGTCTTCGGACGACGACAACGACAGCAGTTGACATGATTAAGGAAAAAAGGAACTGGTACACTATTTGCTCTTTAAGAAAATCTGCACATTTGAATATAAATATAGTTTAATTCTATTGCACCAGTACATTCCCAATCAGTGATAATTAATGACATGTTGGGTGCTGGACAGGAAAAAAATTTGAACATTATGCATTGCAGAAACTCATTTAACTAGAGCCAAAAGCAGCAGACATTTTTTCTATTAAAATTGCAAGCTGAAAAAAACACCTTCTGTTTGATTTTTCTTGCAATTTAGATATGACATTTATTTAATGGCAGAAGAAAATTAGATTTTACTAGAAGCCTGATTCTTTTACTTTGATCTATCTAGCAAATATAGGCCAAAGTAATAACATATGGTAAGCACCATCTAAAGAACATGCATGTTTTGTTTCAATTCCTTTTATCTGTTCTCGAATATAATTCACAATTTGATTTCTAATAGCTTACCTCTAATGTCAACCTTTCTATTTTTGAAGGTAACAACACTTGTTTTAGACCTTCACAAGAACACCCCTAAAGAGTTGTTTAAAACACAGATGCTTCGGGCATACCCTTCTCATTTTTTTTGTTGTGTTTATTAGATTTTCTAGTAAATTCATTCCATATTTCAATGAATTTTCCTTTATTAAATGTGCTCTTGTCTTTATCTAAACAATCTTACAATAATAGAAGTTAATTTGAACTGTCCCTTTTATGTGAAATTGGAAAATAAGAATAAAAAAAAAGCAGGTATACACTACTGGTAAAGTTAGATTGTGAGGATAAGAGCAAGAACACATTATATAAAGGAAAATGAGTTGGAAATATTTATGTAAACTTATTAAAAATCATATACAAATAAATGGGGAATGTGTCCATGGGACATAGATGATGCCCCCGCTTGCATATAATGTTATAAAGGGCCATAACTCAAGAACTGTAAAAGTGACACTACCCAAATTTGAACTTGATTTGAGTTTTGTGGTAATAAGCATTGTTTATAAGTTTCATAATAATTAGTTGATGTAAGCTTAAATTAGAGAACAGAAACGAAAAATTCAGCAATTTTTCTATTTTTAAAGGGGCATAACTCTAGAACAGTAGAAGTGACACCACCAAAATTCAATCTTTATCTGTGTTTTGTGGTAATTAGCATTGTGCACAAGTTTCATAACATTTGGTTGAGGCAAACTAAAGTTAGAGAACAGAAACAAATATTTCAGCAATTTTGAGATTTGTAAAGGGGCATAACTCTAGAACGGTAAAAGTGACGCCAACTAAATTCAAACTTGATCTGTGTATTGTGGTAATTAGCATTGTGCATAAGTTTCATAACATTTGGTTGATGCAAACTAAAGTAAGAGAACAATAAACTGCTTCGCTGAGCGCAGCTGGATACGCCTGCAGAGGTCCAACCCTGAACAGTTGGGGCAAAAATGGACACAATATTCAAGCTTGATACAGGTCTGAATTTGGATTGTAATTAAATATTTGACAAATTATAGGTTTCTGAATAAATGTAGTCTAAGAACTTGAAATTGGTTATATGAATTGAATTTATATTCAATTAAAGATTTCTTGCTGTTGTGCAATACACTGTGCTGTTGCGCAATACTTAGTAAGTAAATCTGTTGTCAGACTATAAACAAATAAAGTTCAATTTCTTCTCAATGTCATATTTGAAATTTATGAAAATCAATAGGGAGATTACATCAATAGCTATAAATAATTCACCAAAGTTTCATGAGAACTGCTGAAAGCATTTTTGAGTTATTGTCCAAAAACTGGAAAATCCCCCTTTTTTTATGAATAAAAACCCTGTAACTCGGAAACGTTAAATCTAAAACTTATAAAAATCCAAAAGGGAGCTCATGTCAATTGATATAAACAATTCACCAAAATTTCTTGCAAGTTGGTGAAAGCATTCTTGAGTTATTGTTGGAATACTAGAAAATCCCCCCTTTTTTAATGAATAAACCGCAAAACTGTAATCTGAAATTCATTAAAAATGAAAGGGAGCTCAAGTCAATAGATATAAACAATTCACCAAAGTTTCATGCATATTGGTTTAAGCTTTTTTGAGTTAATGTCCAACATGTTGACGACAGACAGATGGACGGACAGACAGACGGTCAACGGTATACCATAATACGTCCCTTTAACAAACGTATAAAAACTAATATTTCAGCAATTTTTCCATTTGTAAAGGGGAATAACTTTAGAACGGTAAAAGTGACACCACCAAAAATCAAACTTGATCTGTGTTTTGTGGAAATAAACATTGTGGATAAGTTTCATAACATTTGGTTGAGGCAAACTCAAGTTATAGAACGGAAACGAAAAATGCAGCAATTTTTCCATTTGTAAAGGGCATAACTCTTGAAATGTAAAAGTGATGCCACCAAAATTCAAACTCGATCTGTGTTTTGTGGTAATAAGCACTGTGGATAAGTTTCATAACATTTGGTTGAGGCACACTAAAGTTAGAGAACGGAAACCAATTTTGGGACGTACAGACGGACGGACGGACTGATAGACGTACAGACGTACAGACGGATAAGGGTAAAACTTAATGCCCCCTCCGCTACGGCGGGGGCATAAAAAAGGGGGAGGCCAAGCATCAAGCATCAGGTTTTAACTGGTTCACTGGTTCTCATCTTTAAATATTGCATCAATGGAGATTCATCATTATATAAATTTGTAAACAGTTTGAAAAGAAGGAGCAATAAGACTCATATTTGGCTCAAATATTACTGCAAATCAAAAATTATCATAAATGTTCTTAAATTTTCCTGGTACAAGATGTTCAGAAAATAAAAACTAATTTTCACATAAAAAGTGTTACCATGGCAACAATCCATGACCAAATTCGTTATTTTGTAAAATTCCTTGCCTTTCCTTTTTTTCCATCAACTTTTAAATGTATACTATACCAAGGATCTGGAAATTATTTCACACAATTTTGGTCATTTGGAGATGACTTGAATGTTGGGGTCCTTTTTTAATCTCTCAAAATCTTAGTAGATTTACATAACACCACTGTCCCAGGTTAGGTAAGGATTGAGGGCTCACAAACATGTGTAACCCTGCCACATTCTTTGTGTGCCTGTCCCAAGTCAGGAGCCTGTAATTCAGTTCTTATCGATGGTTCATGTCCGTCTCATTTTGTTTGCGTAAATTGTATTGTATAAATTAGGCTGTCCGTTTTCTCGTTTCAAGTGACCCTGACCTATAATTGCTTTTATCTTCATCATTTAAACTCTGGTGAATAGTTGTCTCATTGGCAATCATACCACATCTCCTTATTTTACATTTACGGAATCTATGAAGTTGTAATGACAGTTTCATCACATTTACTTCATTAAATTTCAATTATAAAATCAGAATTGGCGATTGTCTTTGCTGAAAAGATATTGAATATTGAAGTAACTTTTGGAATATAATTTCTTTATAACATTATAATATTAGTTCTGAGATTAATTACTACTGTTACAGGGTGGATCCAGCATTTTTGAAAAGGTGGGGGCATAATCATTTCCGTCATAGATATTTCAGATTAGGTGATGTCTGACAACTATGACTGTTTCCAGACCCTTGGTGCACACGCAATAAACAACTTTTTATTAGGCGAGATTTTTTAAATAGCTATATTTAAGTTTCTGTAAAATTATTTTGTGATTAGCTGGCTGTGCACTTTATTTCCAGAAAGTAATTATGGATTGATAACTATAAATTGAACAATTTTCATCTTTTTCATGAAATATGATGACGTAATTGTGATGACATTACATAAAAAAACTTGTGAAATTTCTTGATCGTATGCATTTCCAAACATTATGTTCAAATTTGAAATAATTGTCTTTATTTTTATTGGGCCATAATTGGGCCTAAATGCCCAGCTTCTACTCCGTTTAACATTTTCCAATTTTAGATGTGCAATGAAAATAATTATTAAGGATGCATAAATTTATTTAATTTGAAAGAAATGCTTCCATCACTGATTGTTACTTTTCCATACACATAAACTAAACATTAGACTTCATTCACACTCCCATATAAAGATTCTTCAATATTGATACTTGTTTGATAACAAAATGAAAATAGTATTCTCACTTTAATTTATACAGTACTAAAACTTTTCTTTAAAAAAAAAGTTATGATATTTTTTGGTGAAATAATTGTGTTCTAGAAATAAATTATAATGTATCATTTTGAATCTTTTTTATCATCCTTGTCCTTCTTAGACCCATCTTTTACTGAACTTATAGCGTTTTGTATAGCTTCACTTTGTGGATCAACACCAGGTAATCCTTCAAGAACACTTTGTAAAAATGTAGGATCGTTTATCACTTCAGAATAATCCTCATCAGCACCCTGTAAATAAAAATAATATTATTGATGATTTTAACCAATATAGTTAAAATTCAGTTTGTTTGTTAGGTATTCATTTGAACAATAGTCAGTTTTATTGGTGAAGGAAACTGGAGTTGTACTCTCAGCAGATAATTGAAAAACTCTTATAACATAATAGAAGATAGGCCTTACTTTAAATTTTTTTTTAAAATAAAGGGCCTGAGTCTTAACACCCAGACTTAACCTCATTTGTCAATCTGGAGACAACAGATTCCCCATCCCGAAAGATAGTACAGGTACTGTACTCATTAACCCTGTCAAAGAAGTTCTACTAGTACCTGAATATTTACAATTTAAAGGTACAGTAGACTCTGGCAAATCGGATACCCAAAATGTCAACAAAAAATATCCCATTATCTGATATATTCAATTAGATGATAAAGGTATATTCTGCAATAATGAGTAGACCTAATCCTGAGATATTACTAGCCCTGACCACTGCTATATATAAGAAAAGGCTGGAGTGATTTTTATCAGTTACATCACCACGATGTTTGTGTAAAAAATTATCAGCTGGTTATGTAATGCTTATATTTGTTTTCAGTTTTTAAATCCTATATTTATTAAAATAAATAAAATGTCCTGAAATATTTATGTAAATAACTATCTACCATCCATAGTTTGTGTCTTTATTTGTTTTGTAAACGACTTAATATCCATTATTTACATTTATCACAGGTAAGCTAATTTGGCTATAAATAGATCAAAGCATGGTCTGTGTACACTGCAGTCTCTAAACTAAAATCGTATTTGTTATATATTTTATTTCTTTAAATAATCAAATTTATGAAGATATATAATCATGATTGATAAAATATTATTGCATCAAGTTTAAGTTTTCTGAAGACTGTTTATGTTTAGGTCATGGTTCTCGAGGCTTCTTCACATATTGTAAACAAAACAAAATGGCATCCATGACATGTGGTCATCCAAATGTTACAAAATTATATCTGACAAAAGTCAGATTTCTCTTGTCAAAAGGGATTTATATGTATATTGCAATAAATTATTCAGAAGGAGGTACATTCAGTTTAAATTATATTTCTGATTCTGTGAGGAATTAGAGTTTTATCAAAATTCTCCCAACGTACTGCTCTTGTATATTTTATAAATAAATTTAAACTATTTGAATTTAGAGAGCATCTAATTCACTTTACAGAGGAAAACAATGAATAAAGACAACAATTTATTAAGAAATAGTTCCTTTTTATTCAGTAAAAACTAAATTTTCTTGTCTGCAAGATTGTAATTTCGTAACTTTCGGTTCAATTTCCTGTCAGAAAAACATTGAAAATATCAAATTGTGCATGGTTCTGAACAAAATTTCCTGAATATTCTTATCCTATTTGCCGATATATTCTTAAATCCAATATTCGATAACACGATAAAATTAACATTAAACATATAGGGAAGCGTTTGGTGTTTTGAAAAATATTACAATAGCCGATATATGCGTTTAGCGGATATCCGATTAGGTGGAGTCTACTGTACTATATAATGAGTATCAGAACCTACTGTTTGATGATTGCTCTGTCATTTTATTTTATAACTACTTACAGCTTCCTCTGATTTCTGGACAGGTGTTTTAGCTTCATCGTCCACATCCATGGGAGCTGGAGTGTTTTCTGTTGTATTATCAGCTAAAATAAAAAGAAATTGGTTGAACTTTGGGATTCTTACAATCTTTTAAAGGTAATACCAAAAAGGATGAAAAATATGTATAAATCAAGATTTTTAGCATCTTTTTCTATTTTTGTTGACCTCCATTACTTTTTTTTTTAATAATTTTGTAAGTAATCCCCTTAAAAGATGAATAAAAAATTGGACAAAAATATTGTATAAGCCTCCATTTGAAATAATGAAGGTTTGAAGAGGTATCCAAGTTTTAAAATCTTTAACCGTAGACAGTACTTAAGTGTTACAGCAATACTCTCTTGAATTATACTTTGAAATATAGCCTTGTGGAACACCTAACACATTCAAGATAGTTTTATTTCCATTTCTATGGGTATTGCTGGGATGTAACTAAAAGTAAGGTTCATTCTACAGCTTGGTCTTAACTGCTGACATGTCAGTTGTCTTTCTAGTTAAAGAAGCAAGCCCCATTAATATTTCTCGATTAAATAAACTGTTAACAGAGAGGCATGTCTCCCCTTTTTGTTATTTTGAAAGTAAAATGCAAATGTTGAAATTAAAATATCAATACTTTTAACATGCAAGTTATATGCAAAATATTTAAAGTCAATGGACCATGACTGAAGGTACAGGGCCAAACAATCTCCATGGAAATGAGATGTGCCAATGCTAATACAACTGCATACCAAATATCATTGACCTACCACTAGTGGTTCCCCATTAACTGACCTAATCACAAACTAATACATTGTTGACGCCTCCGCCACCAAAAAACATCATACCTATGTCTCGCTTTTTGACTCCAACAAGGCAAGCCAAAAAAAAACATCAAAATGTTGGAATTTTTGTCAAAAGGAGAGTGTTATTATTTTTTTATTTAAAAAAAAAATCACTAGCAACAACTTGTACAAGCAAATCAGATTGTACGAGAACTGAAAATTAATTGGTTAGGCCTAGCAAAGTAGATTTAAAACTATACACAACTACAAGACAGCATCTTTGATAAATATTATACAACAATTTTTTGCTGACCTGAATTTTGTAGAGATAACTGCATGGCATATGCAATTTGTTCCTCTTCTGATAAAGAACTAAAATTCTGTCCACTGGGTGTTGGTGCTGCTTCTTCTTCCTGTCCTAGTGACATTGTCAAAGCTTGTCTTAACATTGCTTCATCATTGGTTCCTACAATACAGATGATAGATCAATGGATCAATATTGCATGGATCAAATTGAATAACCATAAGGAACCTTAGTGTACAAGCTCACATCCAACAAACCCCACAATATGTCTAGACGGCATTTACTAATTGGCACACTAAAAAAGTTGCCCATCTCAGAAGAGGTTTTTACCAAGTTAAAACAAAAATATATTCTAACCAATCAACGATTACAGAGATCCACATCTCATAAGGTTTTCCCTAAAACAAGGAAATGTTTGCCTTGTGACAGAAATGCCTCTGGTGTGATATTGAATAAACAAAAAATTTCTACTGGAATATACAATTAATCTGGATTTTATAAGAGGTCTAGCCTATCTTGAGAGGGAATTTAGGAAAACCATGGTTTACTGAATGATGAAATGTTTTTACCAGTTTCCTGTACAGGTGTTGTCTCTGTAGCTGTTGATTCTATAGCTTTCTTTGCTTCATCTTCCTGTCTGGCTCTCTGTTCCTCCATAGATACTCTCAATGCCTATAATCAAATAACTGATACTGTGAACAAGCTCACAAAAGAGAACATCTCCCCCCTTTCCACTCTAATTTAAATTAAAGTACTGTTAATCTATCCTTTAAGATGCTTGAGCAGAATTTTGCTTCGTTTTAAAATAAAAATAATCCTAATAATTTTTTTTTTTCAAAATGTTTTCTGGATTTACTATCAGGAACACTCATACACAAACATTTGAAAGCAAAGGATGTATAATCTTTAATCTTTACATGTCTGATGTACTACTCCTGTATAAAACTCACAGTTAAAACCAATTTGTACTTACAACAATCATAAGGACAGACAGATGGACAGGGGGATAAATGCTTCTATCAAGCTCCTTTTGCAGAGATATGATAAATCTGGATTTTGATTGAACAATCTTATACAGATTGATAACCATAACTTTATAATACATGTATGTTTCTTGTAAAGTCAGACTGTTGTTTGTAACTATTAAGTTTTCCCTACCATGCCATCAGTCAACAGCAAGTGCATAAAGAGAGATCTGAATAGACTTTATGGTTCATGGTTGATTTATTGTTGATTGCTTAAAGGGGTGTTAGCTGTCAAATTCATGATCACTGATTTAACTTAAATTCTCATATTGGATTCATAGCACACTAAAACGTAAATCCAAATTATAAAAAGTTCGATGGAAACAATGCATAGACTCAGTATAATGTATCAGCATTTCGTGCGTATTTTCAACTAGATGCCAGCTAATTAACCATCAAAATTACCTCTGAAGACTGCCAATAGTCATCTGACATATAAACATAAATATAAATATAAATAGACTGAGAAGCACATGGAGTTGTGTAAATACAATTTTTTCAGGTCGGTTTGATTTCATAACATAGATGTAAATTGTGGTTTCATCTGGACAAATAAGATTTTAATTTTTTGTCTTAATGGCAGCTAATGCCCCTTTAATGTTGTGGGAAAAGTTTCATGCTCACTTTAGAAAAAGAACAAAATTAAAATAAATCTGCCATGTGGATCAACTTAGATCAAATGCTGGAAATTTAGACTGAAAATTGAAAAAGAAAGTCAAGTTGGATAAAAAAAAGTTATTTTCCTTGCAAAATGCCACATATTGATCACTAAAACAATTAATGCACTAGTTGTTTAACATTTGATTTTGATTTTTGGTGTTTTAACGCCACTTTTAAGCACCGCTTTTGGGCTATTTCGTGGCAGCCAGTTTTTATTGGTGGAGGAAGCCGGAGTGCCCAGAGAAAACCACCGACCTTCGATAGGAAAACTGACAATCCTAGTCAATATAGATTGGAGTCGAGTGCACCCACACAAGAGGGGTTCAAACTCACAACCTCAGTGTTGACTGGCTAGTGATTACAGTAGTAACTACTTAGACCACTCTGCCACCAAGGCCCCCTAGTTATTTAAGACAGAATAAGATCTTCTCATTCTCTTAATGAAAACTGATAAATTCATAACACTTGATGATTTTCACATCTTAGGGCCAACTAAGTTTCTATACTATACTGCCTCCATTCATTGCAGCTATTTCAATTTCAGGCAATACATACCAGGGCTAACTCCGGATCTTCATTAGGATCAACCCCAAATTCAAATCCTGTGGCTTGAAGACCAGCACCAGATCCATCCTCTCCAACTATAATGGGTGAATTAATCAAGGCTTCAGATAGTAAAGGTCCTGGTGGTACTGTTACTAAATGTGATCTAAAATAGTAAACGATCATCTTAAAGCAGTACATAGACTAAATCACATTCAATCAGACGCTTCACTTGATTTAATAACTGTATCAAATAAAAACATTAATAAGCTTAAGTATAATAAAATGCTCCGCTGGGGCGCAGCTTGATACGACCGCAGAGGTCGAACCCTGAACAGTTGGGGCAAGTATGGACACAACATTCAAGCTTGATACAGCACTGAATTTGGATTGTGATTAAATATTTGACACAGCATACGTTTCTGACACAGAATGAATGTGGTCTAAGAACTTAAAAATTTTTAATTTACCTATTTAAACCATATCATTATTATTTGCTTTTATATATAAATCAGAAATAACCAATTTAAAATGGAAAACTTTAAAGAAAAAAAAAATGAAAAAAAAATCCCCCCCCAATTTTTTGAACCCCCTTATGATTCATCACCCCCAAACTCAATCCCAGCCTTCCCTTTGTGGTATGGTACCTTGCAGTACAATTTCAGAGAGATCCATACACTTGAACACAAGTTATTGTCTGGAAACTAGAATAAACTGCTTCGCTGAGCGCAGCTTGATACGCCCGCAGAGGTCCAACCCTGAACAGTTGGGGCAAAAATGGACACAATATTCAAGCTTGATACAGGTCTGAATTTGGATTGTATTAAATATTTGACATATTATAGGTTTCTGAATAAATGTAGTCACAGAACTTGAAATTGTTTATATGAATTGAATTTATATTCAATTAAAGATTTCTTGCTGTTGTGCAATACACTGTGCTGTTGTGCAATACTTAGTAAATCTGTTGTCAGACTATAAACAATTAAAGTTCAATTAATTCTCAATGTCATATTAGAAATTAATGAAAATGTAAAGGGAGCTTACATCAATAGATATAAACAATTCACCAAAGTCTCATGAGAATTGCTGACAGCATTTTTGAGTTATTGTCCGAAAACTGGAAAATCCCCCCTTTTTTAATGAATAAAACCCCATAACTCAGAAATGTATAATGTTAAATTAATAAAATTATAAACAGAGCTTACATCAATAGATATAAACAATTCACCAAAGTTTCATAAGAACTGCTGAAAGTATTTTTGATTTTTTGTCCGAAAACTGGAAAATCCCCCTTTTTTTATGAATAAAACCCTGTAACTCGGAAACGTAAAATCTAAAATATATAAAAATCCAAAGGGAGCTCATGTCAATAGATATAAACAATTCACCACAATTTCTTGCAAGTTGGTGAAAGCATTCTTGAGTTATTGTCCCAAAACTGGAAAATCCCCCTTTTTTTAATGAATAAAACCCCATAACTCGAAAACGCAGAATCTAAAATTTATAAAAAAACGAAAGGGAGCTCACGTCAATAGATATAAACAATTCACCAAAGTTTTATGCAAATTGGTTAAAGCCTTTTTGAGTTAATGTCCGACATGTTGACGACGGACGGACAGACGGACGGACGGACAGACGGACAGACAGACAACGGTATACCATAATACGTCCCGTAAACGGGCGTATAAAAATGCTTATTTTTGGCCCCTTATTCCTAAACGTTTTGGGCAATTACCCCCAAACTCAATTCCAGCTTTCCCTTTGTGATATGGAACCTTGTAGTACAATTTCAAAAATATCCATACACTTACACACAAGTTATTGTCATGAAACTAGAAAAATGCTTATTTTTTGCCCCTTTTTGGCCCCTAATTCCTAAAATTTGGAGGCAATTACCCCCAAAATCAATCCCAGCATTCCCTTTGTAATATGGAACCTTGTGGTACAATGTCAGAGAGATCCATACACTTACACACAAGTTATTGTCATGAAACTAGAATAAAATGCTCCGCTGGGGCGCAGCTTGATACGACCGCAGAGGTCGAACCCTGAACAGTTGGGGCAAGTATGGACACAACATTCAAGCTTGATACAGCACTGAATTTGGATTGTAATTAAATATTTGACACAGCATAGGTTTCTCACACAGAATGAAAGTAGTCTAAGAACTTAAAATTTTTTAATTTACCTATTCAAACCATATCATTATTATTTGCTTTTATATATAAATCAGAAATAACCAATTTAAAATGGAAAATTTTAAAGAAAAAAAAGGAAAAAAAATCCCCCCCCCAAATTTTTTGAAACCCCCTTATGATTCAGCACCCCCAAACTCAATCCCAGCCTTCCCTTTGTGGTATGGTACCTTGCAGTACAATTTCAGAGAGATCCATACACTTGAACACAAAATCCTTAATCAGCAACATTTTACAGTAATATCTAAAAATAAAATTCCTTTGTAACCATAAAAGCCCATTTAAATACATCATGACAGATATTAAAATAGAAAGTGACATAATAGTCATGGCTAAACATAGCAAAAACCTTAATCAGCATCATTTAACAGTAATATCTAAAAATAAAAATTTCTTTGCAACCATAAAAGTAAAATAGAAAATGACATCATAATCATAGCTAAAAATAAACAAAAATTTTTTTTATTACCAAATTTTAAATGGAGTTTATTAAACTAAAACAATAAATTTGCAACCATAAAACCCCATTTAACACATCATAAAAGTATTAAATAATTCAACTACATCATAAGGCTATAAAAATAGAAAATGACTTCATAGTCAAGGCTAAAGGTAAACAAAAAACCTTCATCAGCAAAATTTTATATTGGCAAATTTCCAATGAAGTTTATTATACTAAAATTGTTGGCAAATTTCCAATGCATTTATTAACAATAAAGTTATTGGAAAATTTCCAATTTACATAATTTAAAAGCAGTGTAAGTGAGATATTTAAATGAGTTTGAATTACCAACCTTACACTGCTTTTAAATAATGTTTTGTACTTATTTGTCTATTAACCTGGAAACCCTTGTTTTTTCACCTTTTTTTCCCTTATTATTTAAAAGTTTGAGCCATAACCCTACCCCAAAGCCAATTCTTAAATTCCAATGTAACCTAAATTTACAATATACATAACTTCAATTTAAGTTTTTGATAAAATCAAACCACATCATTATTATTTGCTTTTATATCTAAATCAGAAATAATTAACCAACTTTAAGTGGAAAATTTTCACACATCACGCCCCCCCCAAACTCAATCCCAGCCTTCAGTTTGTGGTATGGTACCTTGCAGTACAATTTCACAGAGATCCAATTACTTAAACACAATTAATTGTTGGAAACTAAAAAAAAATGCTTATTTTTAACCCCTTTTTTAGCCCCTTATTCCTAAACATTTGAGCAATTATCCCCCAAACTCAATTCCAACTTTCTCTTTGTGATCAGAATTAACCAACTTAAAATGGAAAATTTTAAAGAAAAAAAAAAGGAAAAAAATCCCCCCCCCCAAAAAAATTTTTTTGACCCACTTCCCTTTGTGGTATGGTACCTTTAAGTACAATTTCAGAGAAATCCATACACTTGAACACAAGTTAATGTCTGGAAACTAATAAAATGCTTATTTTTGCCCCCTTTTTTGGCCACTTATTAATAAATGTTTTGGGCTAACATTTTACAATAATATTTAAAACTGAAATTAATTTGTAACCTTAAAATTAAATAGAAAATGACATCATAGTCATAGCTAAAAATAAACAAACTATTGGTAAATTTCCAATGGAGTTTATTATATTAAAACAATAAATTTGCAACCATAAATGCGCATTAAAATACATCATAAAAGTATTAAAAAAAATTTAACTACATCATAACGCTATTAAAATAGAAAATGACATCATAGTCAGACTAAAGGTAAACAAAAAACCTTCATCAGCAAAATTTTATATTGGCAAATTTCCAATGAAGTTTATTATACTAAAATAATTGGCAAATTTCCAATTTACATAATTCAAACATAGTGCAGGTGAGATATTTAAATGAGTTTGAATTACCAACCTTACACTGCTTTTAAATAATGTTCTTTACTCAATTATTTGTCTATTAAAATGGAAACCCTAGTTTTTTAACCTTTTTTCCCCTTATTCCTTAAACGAAAAAAAATAATTACCCCTTTTTTGACCCCCCCCCCCCCCCCCTATGATTCATCACCCCCCCCCCCCCTTCCCCCCCAAACCAAGCTCAATAACAGCCTTGCCTTTGTGGTATGGTACCTTGTAATACAATTTTAGAGAGATCCATACACTTGAACACAAGTTATTGTCTAGAAACTAAAAAATGCTTATTTTTCACCCCTTTTTAGGCCCCTTATTACTAAACGTTTTGGGCAATTACCACAAAACTCAATTCCAGCTTTCCCTTTGCGAAATGGAACCTTGTAGTAAAATTTCAGAAAGATCCATACACTTACACACAAGTTATTGTCATGAAACTAGAAAAATGCTTGTTTTTTGCCCCCTTTTGGCCCCTTATTCCTAAAATTTCGAGGAAATTAACCCCAAAATCAATCCCATCATCGACCCTTTGTGATATGGAATCTTGTATTACTATGTCAAAGAGATCCATACAATAACACACAAGTTATGTCTGGAAGTTACAAAAATGCTTATTTTCGGCCCCTTTTTGGCCCCTAATTATTTAACTGTTGGTACCATAACCCCCAAAATCAATCCCCACCTTCCTATTGTGGTAATGAACCTTATGGTAAAATTTCATAGAGATCCATTCACTTAAACTAAAGTTAGAGTGCGAAAACCATTGTGTATTCGGACGACGACGCCGGACGACGACGACGACGACGACGACGACAACGTCATACCAATATACGACCACAAAATTTTTTTGCGGTCGTATAAAAATGCTTGTTTTTTGCCCCTTTTTTGCCCCTAATTCCTAAAATTTGGAGGCAATTACCCCCAAAATCAATCCCAGCATTCCCTTTGTGATATGGAACCTTGTGGTACAATGTCAGAGAGATCCATACACTAACACACAAGTTATGTCTGGAAGTTACAATAAACTGCTTCGCTGAGCGCAGCTGGATACGCCCGCAGAGGTCCAACCCTGAACAGTTGGGGCAAAAATGGACACAATATTCAAGCTTGATACAGGTCTGAATTTGGATTGTATTAAATATTTGACATATTATAGGTTTCTGAATAAATGTAGTCTAAGAACTTGAAATTGGTTATATGAATTGAATTTATATTCAATTAAAGATTTCTTGCTGTTGTGCAATACACTGTGCTGTTGTGCAATACTTAGTAAATCTGTTGTCAGACTATAAACAAATAAAGTTCAATTAATTCTCAATGTCATATTAGAAATTTATGAAAATGTAAAGGGAGCTTACATCAATAGATATAAACAATTCACCAAAGTTTCATGAGAATTGCTGTCAGCATTTTTGAGTTATTGTCTGAAAACTGAAAAATCCCCCCTTTTTTAATGAATAAAACCCCATAACTCAGAAATGTAAAATGTAAAATTTATAAAATTCTAAACGGAGCTTACATCAATAGATATAAACAATTCACCAAAGTTTCATACTAACTGCTGAAAGCATTTTTGATTTTTTGTTCGAAAACTGGAAAATCCCCCTTTTTTTATGAATAAAACCCTGTAACTCGGAAACGTAAAATCTAAAATACATAAAAATTGAAAGGGAGCTCATGTCAATAGATATAAACAATTCACCATAATTTCTTGCAAGTTGGTGAAAGCATTCTTGAGTAATTGTCCGAAAACTGGAAAATCCCCCTTTTTTTAATGAATAAAACCCCATAACTCGGAAACGTAAAATCTAAAATTTATAAAAAACGAAAGGGAGCTCACGTCAATAGATACAAACAATTCACCAAAGTTTTATGCAAATTGGTTAAAGCGTTTTTGAGTTAATGTCCGACATGTTGACGACGGACGGACAGACGGACATACGGACGGACGGACAGACGGACAACGGAATACCATAATACGTCCCGTAAACGGGTGTATAAAAATGCTTATTTTTGGCCCCTAATTCCTTAACTGTTGGTACCATAACCCCCAAAATCAATCCCCACCTTCCTTTTGTGGTATTGAACCTTATGGTACAATGTCATTGAGATCCATTCACTTAAACTAAAGTTAGAGTGCGAAAACCAATGTGTCTTCGGACGACAACGACGCCAACGTCATACCAATATACGACGTTCATGAACTTTCAGGATAAGAACAAACTAACAGTAAATTAAAATGGGAAGTCCTGCATAGTTTGGTTTACAAGGGTGAAATAATGAAGATTAAATTTCCAAAGGAAAAAGGGACAGAAATTTAGCTTCATATTTCATTAAAATCCAAATAAGATTGGAGAAAAAGTATGACAACTATATCACCTGCATTACACTGACAGATTACAGTAAAATAAATTTCCAACAAAATTCAGTCCCTGATATCTTTGATAGCAAGTCCAATTGACAAAGTATGAAAACTTTACATTAGAAATTTGATCATTACCCAGTTCCTTCTTTTCCATTGATTGTGTTTACTAATGCTGTCAATTTATCTGTGTTGACTGCCTGTAAAATATAAACCAATATATACACCATATTTACTTGTATGGAACTACAGATTTGTGAATTATTCTAATGGAGTGTGCTGGTGTCACTGTGGAAGGGAATTTATTTATTATTAAATTCACAATGGTTTTAAATATTAATGATGTATTTCAAAACTACTGCAGAAGTATACTTCTAGGGAATTTTTCAATAACGCTTGACTAAATATATCAATAGTTGCATCTCTAAGCAAGGATCTAAAACATAGGTCTTTTTTTTTGTATCTAAGTTCATCCATTATGATCTTTGCAATTTTGTTCCAATGACTGAATTTTTCTTTTATGCATTATTTTTTTTCTTAAAACAAATGGTTGCATATAGCTGTTTTCTTGTTTTGTTTTGTTTAGTTTGTTTTTGTATTTTTTATTAAACCACAACCAAGATGAACTGTGACAACAAATCACATTGTACAGCAGCTTATTACCAAATTCAAGGAAAAATGGGACAAAAATTTCATACAGAGCCATTATGTTTAGGAACTTTAAGTATTCAATTAACACGTAGTTAATGAGGAATAGATGTGAAAACACATAAAATGGTATAGCACGCTCACAAGTATCTTGGAAGTAAAGTTCCATGGATCAGAAAAAAGTGATAAAAATTTCATTGGATAGACTGAACTTAACCAGTATACACTCTCCTTTAGAATGGGGATATAATTATCCAAGGAATTTTCTAATTCCTGCAACATTTCAGTATGAGTTATCCAAAACAATCTACTATACAGACCTCTTCTCCAAAATTAACTATATCTATCTGGACTTTTTCTTTCTTCAGTTTCTTTGCAAGTTTTACCAACTATAATAAACAAGACAAAATCAATTTTTATAACAGAAAAAGACACATTTGTTAATTTTTTGTTGATCAATCAACAGCACTGATCTCCATGGACAAAGCTTTAATCATGAAAGTTTCTAACATCAGAAGGAAAACAAATAGATGCAACTAAAACTGATTCATTCATCAGTTTTGTTGTAATGAATAGTGAATAAATACTAATTTGTCTTCATTTTTTATTGTTTTTCTTCTTCCAATTATTCTATCTTCTGATAGCTTGCAGATATGATTATGGTCTACTACATGAAATTTTAATAAATATTCTACTCATTTTTTAAATTTTTATGTGCAATGGCAACCTTGTCCTTGTTGGATGATTCATTAGGGTAATCAACTATAATTCTGGAAAGCCATCATATAAATTTTGTAGTTATCTTTAGCCTCGTATCAATTATTCCTTTAAAGATTACCATTTCAAACAGATCATCTGTGAACCAGGTTAGTTTTTTAGTACAATACATTTTAAATGTCAAACTAACCTCTTTTTCTTCATCTTCAACAGGACTACCAACAAAGAATACAATCCTCATTTTATGATTCCTTCCTTGTCTGTGCTTAAGTGCAAGCTATAAATAAATTTACAGTATTCAAGAATTTTCTTATCTTAGACACATCAGTAAATTCTTATCTGACACAGGTATTACAGAAATATTTTTTATTTTATTTGTTCTACAACAACATGATACCATGCTTCATGTTAAATGATAAATACCTATTTCCTTACTCAGATATAGTTTGTAAATGTATTACAATGTACTTAATGTGAAAAAACCTGATCAAGTTGTTTAATCCTTTAATATATATGTGTATAACCAATATATAATACAAGATATGATGTATTCTAAGTTTCAGAATATAACTAAATATGGATTTATTTTTTTGTGGGTACCAATTTTCATGGATTGAAAAAAAGTATATTTGCCAGAGTTTCAATACAAGCTTATAGGAAATTTATACTTTGGTGAACACTGGAATTCATGGTTTAACTACACCAATGAAATCCATGAAACTGGTGCTCCATGAATAATAATGAATCTACCGTATACATATATAACATCTGACAAAAAATTACAAACAATTGAAACTAGTTCAATTTACTAAAAGAATAAGATTTTGAGAGAATCTTATGTGAATCTTCAGGCTGATGATACATTTTCAGATTTATTGCATGATGTGATATACTCGACCTAATCTTAATATTTCTGATTCATCTTTTCTTCTAAAGACTTACATGTGCAACTTTAAGTGCTGTTCCAAATTTAATTTCTCCCATCGGTTGAACCTGATGAAGCTTACTTAAAACCCTTCCAGCATCTGTGGTCAAGGTGACCAAAACTTCAACACTGAAAAGAAGAAAGACACACTGTGAAAATTAATTCCTGATTCTATCATAATGTATACTACATGTATATTACCAGCTCAGAACTACAAGTATTCTGTATGATTAAAAAATAAATGGTGAATGTGTCCATGGGACACAGATGAAGCCCCCGCTTGCATATAACGTTATAAAGGGACATAAATCAAGAACTGTAAAAGTGACGCTACCCAAATTTGTACTTGATCTGAGTTTTGTAGTAATAAGCATTGTGTATAAGTTTCATAAATTTGGTTGACACAAACTTAAGTCAGAGAATGGAAAGAAAAATTCAGCAATTTTTCCATTTGTAAAGGGGCATAACTCTAGAACCGTAAAAGTGACGCCACCAAAATTCAAACTTGATCTGTGATTTGTAGTCATAAGCATTGTGTTTAAGATTCATAACATTTGGTTAAGGCAAACTAAAGTTTGAGAACGGAAACGAAAAATTCTGCAATTTTTCCATTTGTAAAGGGGCACAACTCTAGAACGGTAAAAGTGATGCCACCCAAATTCGAACTTGATCTGTGTTTTGTGGTAATAAGCATTGTGTGTAAGTTTCATAACATTTGGTTGAGGCAAACTAAAGTTAGAGAATGGAAACCAATTATTGTAAATCTTTTGCAAGTTCTACAATCACAATAAAAAGTAATATTCCCCTCACTATGGGTCAGGTTTTATGAGTAGACCTGGCTGGAAAGTTTTTTATCAGGACATAACTATTTATTATTTTAACTATATGAATTTAAATTAAACTTAATAGTACATTCATTTGTATATTCAAGTAATGAAATATTGACAAGTCTGACAGAAAAAGGAAGATTAAGTAAAATGACCCAGATTTTTTCATTGCAATGTATTGTTTGTCAAGACATATTCCATATATCTTTAATATTTTGCAAACATTTTTGTCATTGAGGAACATAAAATGATTCCAGTTTTATGTCATGTTAGATTATGGTCAATATCACTCACACCAAAAGTAAATGTCATAACTTAGAGAAATATAAGCCAGAAATAGGTTTACATTGGTTCAATTTATGAATAATACAACAGGTCACTTTGAAATTAGCATTACATAAGAGAGAAAAAGCAGAATGTTCAGAACAGTCCACGCTAAACCACAAGACCAGCATCCCAGGCTTGTATCATTGCTTTCAGGCCTGTAAAATTCATCTCTACAGGCCAACAGAATCTAACTAAATTTTTCAAAAAATTTAGCTCGGGGCCTGTAATTTCAAAAGTTCATCGTGAAGACTGTCAGAACCACCAAAAAAATATTGTTAAAGTCAAATTAATAATTTCAAACTTTTTTACATTTCCGTTATTTAGCCTTTACAGTGCATGGTAAGTGTATATAATTATGTAACTTAAGTACTGTATACAACGTAACCTACAAATCTACTAGCTAGCAGGCAACTTTTGCTTAGTTTTAATTGACTGCAAGATAAATCATCTGATTGTCATATTTCAAATTTATGTAAAAGTAACCCAAGAATAGAAATATTAGCTCTGATTAATAAATTAACATTATTTTTACATATTGTTTGTGGAACTATGCGCACTTGCAACCAAGTTTAATGTCTACATTATTGTAAATATGAATAAATAGTTATAGAAATTTGAAACTATAAATTGTTATCCTTTTAATATATAATAATCATCGATACTTACACTTTTTGTAATAAATACTTTATGAGGGAACTTCTTTGAAATTGAAGTGTCACTTAAATATAAGAACTAGATGCTTTTTTCTTTAACCCGTAACAAAATGAAAACAATTGATTTTCACATTTTTAAAGAAGTGCTTTTGTGCTTGATACATAAATTTGGTAGTCATTTACTTTCATTCTATAAATTTTCAAAAAAAAGCATTAATTTCTAAAGTATGTGCATCTGCATATACATGTATTTTACTTTAACAATTTTAATTTTAATGAACAACATTACTTCCCTTCAACTTACTGAGACATAACTAATAGCCCAACATTGTTTCCCTTCAACTTACTGAGACATAACTAATAGTCCAACATTATTTTCTGGATTAGATCTAGTTTTTGAGTGACAAACAAGATTGACAGCATCTTGTTGGGCCTGCAGTCTGGTAGGAACAAAGTCTCCATTTCTCATATAATCACTGTTGTCAACACTGAAACACATATCAAAGTAGATAAAATACAAGTGTATCATCAACAAAAGGTTAGGACATGATTTAGGCTTTACATTTCATGCATGACAATGATTTTTATGGCCATTTATTTGAATTCCTAAGGGTACAAAACTTCAAACCTCTAATTGCCAATCTTTTTTTGACTGTTATGAATACAAAATGTACCTCCAATATATTTTAGTTGTAATCTTTATCTTAGCTGTACATGAGTTTCTCTTAAAAAAATATTATTACATGCATGGTATCTCTCATCCTACCTTTTACTGACTGTAATAATGTTGTTAACAGAACTTTAACATTGTAAAATTATATTTTAACTGAAAAAGTTTTAAATCATTCAACAGCAAAGGTTACTGCCATGATGATGTGGATATACTTATTCAGTTAAAATATCTTTCTTCCGAATTTTAACCAAAGTCAATTGGTTCTCTTTTTTCAACAAAAGAAAACAAAACTTGGTGCGGGAAAAAGACTACAACGTTCTCCAAAATATAATCTAACATTTTATAACTATGACACCCATAAAAGTTGACTGAGAATAATCAAGACCAGAAAAGAGATACATTCAAGTGATTCAATTAAAATATACGAAGGAGCTTCAAAGGGTTTCCCGCAAATTTGTTGCATCTGATTACAAAAAGAATATTAGCAGTTAAAAAATGAAAATAAAATCATCATCATTTTCAAATGAGTCTTGCTTATTCAACATACAATTTTATAGCAAACAAAATGAATTCTCGAGGGAAAGTTCTCACCTGATCAACCAAGCAGTGTTTTGTTTCTGATAAACGAAGATAAATAATAAGCCAACTTTGTATCTTAATTTGTTGTTTTAAGCTAAAAATTATTATATTTTATTATTTAAATACTACTTCATATCAATGTGAAGAAAAAAAGCATTACTTGAAAATAATATTTCTTTGTTTACATTAAAAATGATGTCATAATTTAAATCCCTAACAACAGGACCAACAACGGAAAACGATTCTGCCTTTCCGTTACTTTTTTAACAGAAATCAAAAATATGTTGGGAAGTAATTTTTTACAATTTGGTAAAGTGTCTTTTGGAAGACGACCATTTGATATGAGAAATAAACTGTTAACACAGAGATACTTCTTGCCTTTTTGTTTTTTTGATGGTAAAAAATCAAATGTTGAAATTAAAAGACGATACTCAACATGGAAGTTATGCAAAATATTCAAAGTCAATGAACCACGACTAAAGGTACAGGGCCAAACAATCTCCATTGAAACGAGATGTGTCTATGCTAATATAACTGTATACCAAATATCACTGACCTTCCACTAGTGGTTCCCAATAAACTGACCTAATCACAAACTAATGCATGCAAAAGTTTCAGTCAATAGACCACTACTGAGGGGATGAGGTCAAACAATCTCCATGAAAATGAGATGTGCCAATGCTAATACAACTGCATACCAAATATCAATGACCTACCACTAGTGGTTCCCCATAAACTGACCTAATCACAAACTAATACATGTAAACTAAGCAAAAGTTTCAAAGTCAATAGACCATGACTTGGAGGGCGGGGCCAAATAATCTCCATGGAAATAAGTTGTGCCAATTCTTTTTCATCTGCAAACCAAATATCAATCACCTAACACTAGCATGACTAGTGGTTCCCCATAAACTGATCTAATCACAAACTGATACATGTAATCTCAGCAAATTTTTTTAAGTCAATAGACCATGACTGAGGTGGCGGGGACAAATAATCTCCATGGAAATGAGATGTGCCAATGCTTATACAACTGCATACCAAATATCATTGACCTACAAATGCACATGTACCACAAGTGGTTCCCCAAAAACTGATCTAATCACAATCTTATGCATTGTTGATGCAGTCAATGCTACCGGAACCAGCATACCTATTTCTCACTTTTTGACTCCGTCAAGGCGAGACAAAAACTGCTTCAGTTTTGAGATAGCATTTAACATCAGATAAGTTTCCATAATTCACTTACTTTTCTACCAGGAGTTGTGCTGGGAATTTTTGGACAATAAATATTTATATATATAAATCTGTTGTAAACGGGATAGGGATATCGTAAAAGTATTCTTAAAATTATGTTGGCCCTACATCGTCCCCTTTCATCATGTTCATACATGTAGGTAACACCGGCCTCATATTATTCTATAAGAGTATTAAATTATAAGCGGGATGTTAACAAATCCGAATTCTTTTTAAATGAAATGATTATTGATATTCCTTTTTTGGGACGAATGGATCCAAACGATGATGTTGATTTTCAAAATCGCTAAATCATCATCGTTATAACGTATAAATGGCAATTGATTTTCACACATTAAGTGCCTTCAATAGGGTATAGAGGATACGATACGATATGCAAGTTTACATCAGTTCTCTACCGAAATGTGTATCTTATCTTTTAAGCTTAAGTGTGAGGGGAACAAATATTATTTTATGTTTTTTTACCAGACAATGGTACTTTCGAGAACCATTTTGGAAATGAATAATATGAAGAGTTGCGATTGGCTGAAATTATTTCCCATCTTAATCGCCAAAAGACAGACATTAAACAACACAGCACAACGACGTAAATAAAATGTCGCTGAGCTTCCATTTTTTTGCAGATTTACATTCGTGTTTATTAATTTATTAATAAATCTTTCCCAAGAAGCTTCATTCAAAATATTCTAAATACACACATGCACGAATAATTGGAAACAAAAGAACAAATATTGAATATCATTATATTTGTTTACTGGTTTCACACAACCTCGTCAAAAACGGAACCCAGTCTTCAAGCACATGGCACAACAACAACAACAAAAGAAATATGGTTAACGTCCATGGCTTTGGCGAATTTATGGACGATAAAGCATTAAAAATATTAAATGAAAAGAACGTCACCAGAATAAAAACATCATGGAGTAACACAACAGTTCAGTTTGGCAAGTATCTTTAGTAAAAGTTAAGAACACACTGTACATAGTCAAACTCTAGGTGACTAATTTCAGTCAGTTTATATATTATCTGTTGTCACTCACTGAACCAGAAGAAACGGGACCGGGGACATTTCCGACAATGGCAAGGTTTATAGTGTACTCTCCCACATATTAATATTCATATTATATAAGTATATAATATATCTTTAGATATTTTGGAGGAGGTGATGCTTTTGATATTGATACTGAGGGTAGATTATACCAGTGACCTGTCAGTTTTCTGTCTGGTACTTTAAAATTGACCCTTTTTAAGGGTCACTCCCGTATCAGTGGAATAAATAATATAAATATATATATTATATACATTTGTAGATGTTTACCTGTACAATGAACACCATATAAACAACAAAGAATCGCCATAATGATACGTTTGTCAAAATGCCATTGTTTAATACTTAGTCTAGCTTAATATAGTTATACATCAGTTTGTTGTGTAGAGCATTATAAAGAGAACTAATCATGCACTCTGTTTCCCATTAGTTGTCATAGCTTTATTATATGCCTGATCTTCTGAGAAGATAAGCCTAGGATAAATGTGGGTCTGGATTTATTTATTCTTTAACTTTTTAGATCATTTTCTCTTATTCTTCATTTATTTTGACCATTATTCTCTTTTCTTTCGGGGTTTTTTTGCCGATTTTCTCTATTCTTTTTTGCCTTTTTTTCTGCTCTTTTGTGATATTGTTCTCTATGCTGTAAACTCCATCCAGACCGGCTTACAATTGCCGGGACAAGTCTTCGTTTTCAAGTTCCTTACATAAATTCTTGTCAAACATGTCAAAGTTGTTATACATGTTTTCAATTGTTTTATCTTAAATGTGGTTTTTTTTCATGTACCCAAGCGTAGCCTACGTACATTCTAACACTATAATTATTAAATAGTTTTAATTGTTGAATAAGTTTCTACACATTGTTTTGAACATAATGTGATCATGCACTATCGTTGTGTTTTCCTTTGTTCACATGCACCATGTTAAAAACTTCGGACAGGAGGAGATTGTACGTGTCCTCATATAGCAGTGCATTTGTCTATTTGAAGACATGATTTTTGTGTGTTTGTAGTATGATTGTTGTTGATAAAATCGATAAACTGCAATTGAGCAATAACACATTTTTGAATAATTAATTACTATCCTACCAACACAGAATCACATCTTTTGCTAGGTGTTCCTTATTTGAAAATGTAAAGAGACGTTTATGCATGTAATATTTTATCATATTAAGTGATCCATTGTAATCTTTATTTGTTAGTTAAATGATATCTTTACAATGCACTTTTAATCATATAGTTAACTGCCACTAGTGGAGCAGGACTACTTATATTTTCGTAGCTCCTATTTTAACCACGTGTTTATGGTTGGGTTCGCATTGCTTAATTAATCTTTATTATTATACTTCACGTCAAAATGCTAGGTTTTGATTTGGAAACATTTTACTCCATCCCATGTCTCAGCGGGAGACAATTTTTGAATTTCACCCTCTCGTGAAGATCAATCCAAAATCGATTATTTAAAAGACAATGAATTAAATTTACATCCATAATTTTTAAAGAAAATGTTCAAGATTTACGCTTCTGTCTTTGCACAGTCACTTGTCTCTGAAAAAATACTTATATACCTTGATATAACACTTTTCTAATGAATGTAGCGTTGCTATGTACATGAAGTCATATTTTATTACATTCAATTTAAAATTTAAAAGACAAATATGACAGATGATTCAGTAAAATAAATTGAATAACACATAGCTGAACAGGTGATAGAGCAGATTGTAACCACTCGAAAAAGCATGGTATCGCGTCGGTTGACAATGTTTTCTCAGGATAACAATCTGCTCTATCTCCTTTCAGATATGTGTTGTTTATATAATGATTTTTTTATTATACTAATACTAATTTTCTTAATCATTCTTTTAGATTTTACACGTTTGAATAAAGTTATTGTCTTTCAGATGACGGAACACAAGAAGTATTGGGCTACCAACATGCGATATACGACCAAATTCTTCACAAAATTTCTGGATCTGTCATTAAAAACCTTACATTTGTGGGTGAAAATCTAGTATTTGTAAACAATTTCGAACAATTTTATATGATAACAGACAAATCGAAATATTTTCTGGTCCAATTTCATGACAAACAGCAACATAAAGGTCAGATTAGTCATCTTACTGCAACGGACAAAGATCTCATAATTATTTTAGGTATGTCTATATTTACAGAAGTGTTGTAAAATTGACCAAAATTACGGTTCATTAAAATAACGTTAAAGCCCACATCACTGGAGCGTTTCATGCATATTTTGTCCAATGATCACTTTTCATATTGAATTATGAATACAAGACATTATAACATTACCTAACTACACGTCTTTACATCATTAAAAAAATGATATAACCTGACAATCACGCGACAGTTAGACTTAATAACAAAGACAGGTTGGTCCATACTCAGAATAATGTGTTTGCTGTTCCCGTGTGAGCTAGCATGTGAAAAATCCAACTGAAAGTGTCGGTATTGTACAAAGCAGGGCTTTATAACAGTAGATCTATAAGGAACAACTTTTTAATTAGCTAAAGAAAAAAATATAAACATAATTGTCGTAGTTTGTATGCTAGTACTACACATATAAATATACACTGCAAAATAGGCAACGAAGTTGAAAATTTGATTTTTGAAATATTTTTATTTAAAGATTTATAGAATTCAAACGGACGATTACATATTATAAGATATTAATATCTTGTATATGCATTTAATGTTTTGCAGACGACCGTTTACCAACATTCAATCAGTCAATCATTATTATATCTAAATATCATGCAAAGGACAGTAAGTTCATATGCTTGTATAACTTAGTTTTTACTTACACAGTACAATATGAGCCAATTTCGTAGCATGCGCCATGTACAGCAAAACTCTAATTAGATACTTATTGTGACATTTTCCACCATATTTAGTATTGAGTTTCAGTTTATATTATTACAGATACCAAGACATGTTTCATAAGCGAGAACATATTATGTAAAATAGGAAAAGATATCAGATGCGAAGATGCAGATATTATACCAACATTATCATTACCATTAGTACCTCTATGTACAGATAAAGTGGCTGCAGTTAGCTGTGGGAAGGAACATATCTTACTTTTAACTACGTATGGCACAGTCCTCACGTTTGGAGGAGGAACGTATGTAGAAAAATTTCGAACATAACAAGATACAAGTATAAAAAGGAGATGTACTTCCTCTTGTAAAATAGTTTGATCACTTTATTTTTTCAACAGGAATTAAAAGGATGCTTAGAAATAGAATTATCATTAAAAGTCATTTCCCAGATGTTAAAAAATAAATCCAGAAAGTTATAAGTATTACTTAAATAAGGAATTGTAATATAAATGTAATATTCTATGTATATAAAAATAAAATCAGTGAATTACATTTTCATGAATTGAATCGGCCACAATGGTGATATGGCGTTGTTTGCCGTACGTGTACACAATGTTTTTGTAGTTCTCAGATCATCGAAAATCTTTGGAAATGAATTTTGCCAATAAACATATGTCACTTTAATAAATAGCTATTATTGATTTAACTTTAATTGTTTCTTGTATTCGTTGTATTGTTCTTCTTCGTGTGCTTTACTATATAATAAATGATTGGTTATGCAGTTTCTGTCTGTTTTTTCCCCAGTAAGATTTGGCCTAGATTTTAAAGGTACCAAAAACTTTTAAATATTTTATGCCTCTTTTTTATGCACTTTTCTTTGTATAACACCTCAGAAGATATTGTATCGTTTTACCAGATTTGATATAGCTATTGCTCTTGCCGATATATATGTAGCTTTTCCTGCATTCTACTGTGTCCAGTACTTAACTGTGTTAGTCGCAATGATGTGTCTTCACTTGCTTTCACTAATGCTTTACTTTGTCGTATAAGAACTGTAATTGCCTTATATTACTGTGTATTCATTTTCATTCAGTCGAGGACAGCTTGGTCATGGAACAGTGGACAGTACAAAGGAACCAAAGTTGATAGACAGCTTAGCGGGACTCAAAATGTTAGCCGTTGCAGCTGGTGGCTGGCATTCGCTTTGTGTTTCAGGTAACATGAAACGAAACATTTATTTATTTTCTACTGGAAAAACAGGGGCCTCGGTGGCCAAGTAGAACTGCTATATCACTAGCCTGTCAAAACTGAGGTTGTGGGTTCCAATTCCGCACGTGGCAGGTACGCTCGAATCCAATCTTAATTAAATAGTATTGCTAGTTTTCCTACCGAAGGTCGGCGGTTATCTACGGGCAATCTGGCTTCCTCCACCAATAAAAACTGACCTCTACGAAATAGCGCAATTATAGTGAGTGCTGAAAGTTTTGTTAAACACCAATCAATCAATCAAGCTAGTGGAAAAACTTGATAAAATTTTAAATGAAGTCTAAACTGTCTGCTAAACATCAATGTTAAATTTCGACAGTCTGGTTTTAACGATGGAATAGTGTATATCTTGTACGACTGTTTTCTTCCCATCCTGGTTTCTGACTTAGCATAATAACTGTATTATCTATCAAGACAAATAATTAAGAACTATCGAAATATTAAACAGTTGACTACATTGCATGGACAGAAGGAGATCTAAGTATGCGTTAATGAGATAGCAACACAAAACAAAGTACTTATCTCATTTTTGCAGAGCATTCTTAAATTAGAATATTATAATTATCCTTTTACCTTATTTGTTTAGAATGTGGAGATATATATTGCTGGGGTTGGAACGAAAGTGGGCAACTTGGCCTTCCCTCTAACACTGTTCGAGAAAAACACGGAGATACGCATCGACAAGATACTTCAACACCACAAATTAGACATAATATTGGAAACATTGTGATAAACGATGATAACATGAACAAACCTGTACAGGAAAAAAGTGATGACAGTTCCTTACCATCCGTAGGAGGAGACATTTTAGCTGATGACTCACCAGAAAGACAAAACTTAGACAAGATGGAGAGTTTATTGTTTATACAAAATGTAGACCCAGCACAAATTCACCCTCTCCCATGCTTGATAGATTTACAGGACACATTTAATATACAAAAAGCCAGTTGTGGATCTCGTCATACTGCTTTACTCACAGGTACATTATCATAGGAAATCACTAACCCCCTTCTCACCATCATGCACGCTCCTTTTTAGAGTTCATGCGAAGTTTTTTTAATTGCTTTATGGTATTTTATAACCATTTTTAGTGTTGGTGCACGCAGTGAGATGATAAAAGAATTAATTGAGTAGCTTTAATAAAATCCACTGTTAGTTTTTGCACTTACAAGAGAGAATCTAAAATACAAGCCCCTGAAAGAAATACTACATAATATACAATTTTGTATCTTCTCACTCTTTTATTTGCAGAGAATGGTATCTTGTTGACAAGTGGATGGAATGATTATGGACAGTTATGCCATGATGACATAATCACAAGAGACTATTTTGAAACTGTATCTTCATACATCAGATCAGGGTCTACGATAAAGGATGTTCATTGTGGTCCTTGGTCCACCTACATCATTACAGATTGAAATCAATTGCATCAAATCCTCATATATGACAGTGTTATATTTTGAACTGTTACTACTATTACTATTTGAACTTGAATAAATCTTGTTAAACATAAACACCAAAGTGTCGAAATTATTTTGTTAAGATTGATATTAGTTTTGGATTTTATCAAAAGTACAAACATTTTAACAAATAAAGGCAACAGTAGTATACCGCTGTTCGAAACTCATAAATCGATAGAGATAAAAACAAATCCGGGTTACAAACTAAAACTGAGGGAAACGCATCAAATATAAGAGGAGAACAACGACACCACAAAAACACAACATTAAAATGTAACACACACAGAAACGGTTTATTGTATTTTATGACTACAAAACGACTCGAAACGATGGTGCGTGATGGGAAGGCTTCAGTTTGCTCTGCAGCCCCCCGAAACACACACACAAACCATTGAAAGTTGACCCCAGTTTAGATTCAAATCGCATTAACAAATTTGATATGTGGAGATGGTGTGTTGTTGGTTATGCATATAAACCCGAAATGGACAGTTGTAAAATTAAGTCAACAAGAAACACTGAAGACATGATTGGCAAAATAAAACTGTAGAAAATACCTGGATTCTTCGATACATTTATATTTGTAGAAAATGTGTTAACAAAAATGATACACAATTGTTTGCTGGTTAAGGGTTTTGATCAGTAGTTTCAAACCCCACATCTGCTTTTATTAATGAGTGTACATATCAGACTTAGTACAAGGTATTTACAGTGATCTGATTATCTTGGTCACAATTAAAAGGTCGTTCTTCAGCAATTTGTTTTAATCAGTCTTTCACATTAAACGTCTGTTTAAAGATATTTTTTTAAATAATCTCATTTTATTTTTAAATCAGAAAAAATAAATTTAGTAATTATGAGTTTATTTACAACCACTGAGTCGATGTCACTGCTGGTGGAGTTTTTATTCCCCGAGGGTATCACCAGCTCAGTAGTCAGCATTTCTGTGTTGACATGAACCATCATTGATATGGTCATAATTGTAAGTCAACCGGTTACAAAACTTTGAATTTTAGAAATACTAAGGCTTTTCTACCTCAGAAATAGATTACTTTAGCTGTATTTGTCAAAACTTTTAGGAATTTTGGGTCCTCAATACTCTTCAACTTCGTACTTTACTTGGCCTTTTAACTTTTTTTTATTTGAGCGTCACTGATGAGTCTTTTGTAGACGAAACGAGCGCCTGGCGTACAAAATTTCAATCCTGGTATCTATGATGAGTTTATTTACCGATATTCTGATCTCATCAATCGATTAAAAAGAAACAAATCAAGATTACAAACAAAAACGGAAAGAATCATGAACTCCAAAAAGAGCGAGACCAGATGCGTTGGCAGGGTAAGCATGCATCATCCTCAATGCGAATCAACAATCAGTCAAAATGTCAAAGTTGGGATAGAATTACAGATCAGACGACTATTCTATCTAAAGATCTAAGACTGCAAAGCCATGGCGCTGGTGAGGATAGACACAGAAACATCGTATCGGCTAAGAATTTGTGATGATGACCGTAAGTCTGTATACTGTCGATTTCAGTTGTTCTTCCTTAAAACTCGTTTGTATCAGTTTTTGTGTAATATGAACATGCTCGAGCGTAACATAATAACTGAGATATGCGCCATACGATGGGACAGAGGGTATGTAACTGACGTGAATTGGAAATTTGAAAAATGGAAAGTTGAAATCATCACGTTTGTCATAGATTCTAGTTTGAAGTCGTCCAAATGTGTCAATATTGAGGAAAAGTTGAAGATATGAAGCAAACCTCCTAGTTGTGGTAGTATCATAGATATCAAGTTCACTAGGATATATAAGATTCAAGCATTCATTAAAATATGGGTTATTTGAGTGACAGTACATCATAAATTTATCTGATAGAAGTGAAATTAGCAGGGATGCAAAATTCTTACCCATTGGAATTCCGACTGTCTGTTGAAATATCAATCAATCAAACTCAACAAACATTTTGTCGATAAAAAGGTCTGCATTGTGGTGATATTATCTTTGGTGTATTTGTTCATGGACTCAGTGTGGTTCTTCACAAGTTAAAATTTGTCATGACCTAAAATTGGTATCTACGATTTCCGGTTTAGCAGTAAAGTGTCAGTTAAATGAAACGATTTAGTCAATTTCTCAATTGAGCATGGGAATAGTAGTGTTTAGCGTAGAGAGGTTAAAGGTTTCGATATTACTTCAAAATTGTAAAGATTGTGATTGAAGATTTTGGTGTAGATTTTAAGACTACTAGTACTAGTATTTAAGAATTCACACAGCTGGATTAAAATACCTCACCACAAAATACCAGAGGGCACTTTTTATTGAGAAGAACGGTGGTATGAACTTTTGAAAGGTGTTTAGTCGACCGTCTTGACGACCTGGCTATATTTCTTTCTTTATAAAGATTTTTGTGAAGTTCATTGTCCTTTTTAAAGTTAATACCGAAGGAGAGAAAGAAAAAATTATGGTTTTCTAAAATCTCCTCCTCCGTGAATTATGTAGGAGAATATATGGGATTCCCAATTTTTTTTGTTTTAATCTAGACATTAAAAAAAAAAGATTTTTGCATTTGACAACAATCTTGTTTGATGCTTTGTCTGCTGTAACAAAAGTATTTTTGTCGCGAAGAAAGGATAACACATCGACCACCTTGGGCTTAAACCCCGTGCGCTCATTGTGCATCGTAGAATTTGAATGCACGTCTGAATGTATGACCAAAAAACTTTGATCCATTCAGACAAAGTATCCAGTTTTGGTTCAACTGGTTCGCGATTTACCCATTTTCTAAAATTCTTGCAAAGTCCTTAACTGCATCCATCAGTAATCTTAATTCTTCTCCTCGGTGATCGGCTGGAGAATTCGATATTTGTGGCCTTTGGCTAAATACCATCTAACAAGAGCAATAGGGAGGTTTGTATTTTACATCTTTGAGGGTAAAGAGATATAAGAAGATGTGGTATGAGTGCCAATGAGACAACTCTCCATCCAAGTCAAAATTTATCAAAGTAAACCATTATAGGTCAAAGTACGGTCTTCAACACGGAGCCTTGGCTCACACCGATCAGAAAGCTATAAAGGGCCCCAAAAATTACTAGTGTAAAACCATTCAAACCGGAAAACCAACGGTCTAATCTATAAAAAAAAAATGAGAAACGAGAAACACTTATGAACCACATCAACAAACGACAACTACTGAACATCAGATTCCTGACTTAGGACAGGTGCAAACAATTGCAGCGGGTTTAAACGTTTTAATGGTACCAAACCTTCACCCTTATCTGAAACAATAGTGTAATATCACAACATAGAAAGACACACTATAAAATATCAATTGAAAGTCTATCATTTACTCTTGTGGTTGAAAATCTTGGATGTAATAAGTTTGATGCAGGTATCTGAAATGACAGCTGTAAATTTTATCTATAAAGTAATCAGGTATTGTTGACTGTACATAGATTTGGTGGAAATATTACTTATAAAATTGATAGCAACCAAACCCTTATTAGCGAATTGTATTAAAAAAACTACGTTTTCCATCATATATTTGTACTTAGCAGAATTAAATCAAAAACGAAAGTGTTTTGGGCCTCTTGAAATAGAGTATTATGTGATAATGGTATGGGAAACAGTTTAATATAGTTATCCCAACGCTTTTTATAACAATCCATCCATAGACACGGTGTGAACTGCAGGGAATGTATATTTTCGATGACAGTGACTCATATTTCGCCGACCAGTGGTGTTAAATAATTCTAAATTGTAGATATCACTACGCCTAGGTCTATACAAACTACGTACACAATTTTTATAAGCAGTGCATTGATATCAAATAACATTAGATGCTATACACCACCACGGAAAATATAGAACAATCAAAATCATACCAAGTTAATCTTTCCTTTAAGCTGAGGATTTTCAATTTTAATGTTGAAACTTAGAAGAATATATATAAAATACTCAAGTTTTTAGATATTTTGCATATAAGATTTCTCGTCACGTTTACATGTATGTATAATGTAAAATGTTATTCCGGTGCAATACATTGCGATTGAAGGTTACTTTTTAATATATTATTGCAAATTTTACATGTTTTGGGGTAAAACTATGAATCGAAGGCCTCCATAAAAAAAAATTATTTTGCATCGGACACAATTATATACATACCTCTGAATCCGAAATAATTCACGATTCGGTTGGACAAAAATAGAACAGTTGCTAATCTTCTTTTTATTATTTTCAACGATAGAATATATAAGTTGTGTTAAAAAATACCAGAAGCGAAAACGGCCTTGATATCAATTTTTGCCGTGTCATAAAATAAAATGCGAGAAACATTTATTTACATCAATATTAATATTTTTTAACAACAGGAAGAGGAAATCAAAAGTTCCTTTATTTATGAATCATTCAAAAAATATAATGTTTTACTACGCAGATCTCTCCAGATCGTCGATTGTGGAGGTTTCACTTTGAAGTGTCAAAATGACATCCGTTTTAATCATTGCGGCACCTCTTGTTTTAATTGCTATCGGAAAAGTAAATTCTGCAAGTATTTCAAACAACTGTAAGTACCCTTACCACAGTAAGATGCGTCGTTTACCATTTTGTTTTGATATATAAATTTTGGCGTTTGCACATTGCATATTATCATGGAATAACCAGTTATCTCTTTATGGAATTCTGAAACTATTTTTATTAATAGATCACAAGGCTTTTTTCACTTCTTTTTGTGCATACTAATTTGTTAAATAAAAATATAAAAAAGATGACAAACTTAATGTATGTCGTTTTGTATTTGTGTGCTATGTATATCCGCGCATTTGTATTAACATGATTAACAAGAGTCTTGTCTGATGCGATTATTATACTTTATTTTATACGGTAATGAACTCTTTAAATGCGGCCAATGTCCTTTAAAGCCCGACAGATCTATAATCTACTGTTGCCTTAATTTATGTATAGTTATTTTTTTTTTAAGATAAAATTTAGTTGAACGAAATATTGATCTCGTGATGGTGTATATTGAATGGAATTCAACACCTCTGTGAATTAACGATATCATAGAAAGAACAAGAAAATACATAAATATTAAGCAAATAAATTCTATTTTATTTTATTATAGATGGATCTAATATCAGACTTCCTATAGACTGCGGCGACATTGATATCAAGAGAGGAAGTGGTGTGTACAAAATATATCAGCAAGGATATGCCATCAATGTCTTCTGTGATATGGAAACAGAAAATGTGGACGGAGGATGGACAGTACGTTTGCATGATACCTTGAAACATTCAATGTTTTATAGGAACATATAAAAAAATCGAATGATGCATTTATATTTATAAATTATACGAAAAAATACAAAAACTCTATGAAAGGATTAGCCGAATTAATTCTTTATTGCTTTGTAGTTGAAGGAATTTGGGTTTTTTTTTGCATTGGGTACTATTTTTTTCTTTATGGTATTGGTTAATAGGGTTGTAAAGTCAGCTGACAATCAACGTCAAATGATAGTAATTGCTCACAAATACTACCCAAAACAAACAAATATTGGCCAAAATCTTAGTTTATCAATTAGTGTTGTTACCTTGACCTTTGACTCAGTGACTTCAAGGATAAAAGGGGTCTTCCCCCAAAGGAAAATTATCCACCAAAATTGTCCGGAGAGAGTAAGTGTAAGTTTATTCAAAGGCATTGTTACCTCAACCTTAGGCATTGCTTAACTTATAGGCGTCGCTTTCTGTTCAAGAGACATTTTCAAGATAAATTTGGTGAAGGTTAGACATATGTTTCGAAAGATATCATTGGAAAACGAAATTTAGCATAAGGCATTATCAAACTATGTTTGGAAATGTTTGGATCTATGGTTTAGAATGTATCCGAAATAAAGTGGACATCCGTTTACTTGCTGCTGTAACTTTGATATTTGAGAAAATGACACCAAATTCAATAGCTATGGACCTTTTATTCTTCAAAGCGTACTATTCACCAAAGATTGGTATAAATTTGATAAATGGATCTAAATAAACTTTATGGAAGCAAAATTTTCCCCAAAAACATTCAGTCTATCTATTAGCGATGTGAACTTTAACTTTGACCTGCAGACCACAAAATCATTAGTGAGCTTATTCTTTATAAGGAGCATTTTCAAGGTTTGGTGTATGTTGGACTTACGATTCAAAAGATATCGTCCAGAAACCAAACCCCAATTTCACTCTATCCGTTGCTTTTCAAAAATGAGACACAGAAACAAATTGGCATTCTTTCTAACATTACATTTAAGGTTTAATCCATACGATACGCGTAAGAAAATATATTCCACTTACAACGGAATTATATCATATCACCAGCACAGTAGTAAGTACTTATGTGTGACATTTTACATGAGTTATCATTGATATGATCATAATTATAAATCAACAAAACTTAATTATGTTTAAAATACTAAGGATTTACTACCCAAGGAATATATTACCTTAGCTGTATTTGGCAAAACCTTTTTGGAATATTGGGTCCTCAATGCTCTTTAACTTCGTACTTTATTTGGCCTTCTTAACTTTGTTTTATTCAAGCGTCACTGATGAGTCTTTTGTAGACGATACGCGCGTCTGGCGTACACAATTTTAATCCTGGTATTTATGAGTTTATTCACTGTTTTCAGAAACTTTTAATTTCAAGCGTACCTGATAATGGATGTTTATGAAACATGTGTTGGGCACACTAAAATTGGTATATTTGCATTTAAATATATAACGTTTCTCTGCCGAGATCTTGCTCAAGATGAAAGGGGGTTAAGGTAATACAAATTGTATTGTTTAAAAAGCGCCTGTTAACTTTAAGGAAATTTCATCAGTTTTATTAGATAGATCAACAGTTGAAACATGCTAAAAAAATAAACAAGGTGATACGCTTGTAATCCGAGATGTTACATAGAAACAATGTGTATCAGGGAAACTAGCTGACTAAAGACGTATACCAAGTTTCACTCTTACATTGTTGGTTTATGGACGACGATGTTTGCCAAGATATACTATTGGTATCACTTTATAAATGACCAAAGAATAATTGAGTCTGTTGTAAAGGTTACATCTTTAACTCCTTTTCAGTATAACTAAATCTTTAAGATAATATGAATATGTGTTTACAGTTTCATATCTGAACAATGAGAGCCAGGCTCCGTGTTGAAGGTCATACTTTGACCTATAATGGTTTAATTTTACAAATTGTGACTTGGATGGAGAGTTGTCTCATTGGCACTCTAACTACATCTTCTTATATATCTTATAACTGCCCTAGCATAAAGATTACTTTTTAAATTCCCACGATCGCTACTCTCGACCTTTCAACACTGACATGTGTTTTCTATCATTCCCCACTCCTATATAGATGTTACCAACTTTACTCTAAAGTGCACTGGCCACAAAGGTTGCATTTTGCATTTATATTTGGACAATAATTTATATATACATATGTATGATACATACTATATTCTTTTATTTAGGTCTTTCAGCGAAGAATTAATGGTGATGTAAACTTTTACAGAGGATGGACTGAATATAAAGCAGGATTTGGGACTCTAGAGAAAGAACATTGGCTTGGTAAATAACCTAAATTGAATGGAAACTGCTTCCCCTTCCAGAGCACCTTAGTTTACCTCCAAATTTTCTTGTTTTCAGAAGAAAGGCTTTCAGAAAATAAGATTACTAGCCAAAAGTAAAATAACAAAAATACCGAACTCCACGGAAAAATCAAAACAGAAAGTCCCTTATCAAATGGCAAATTCAAATGCTCAAACATATCAAACGAATGGAAAACAGCTGTCATATTCCTGACTTGGTACAGGCATTTACTTATGTAGAAAAGGTGGAATAAACCTGGTTTTATAGCTTGATAATCATCTTAAGCTTCCTCGATGGCATAATTTGACTGAGACGTCATGAAAAAGAAATCATCAGCTATATTTGTATGAATTTTTGGCAAAATAGGCTTCTTTTTTTTTAGCTCACTCGGCCCAAAGCCAAAGAGCCAAGTTAGCTTTTCTCATCAATTGGTGTCCGTCGTCCGTCTGTCGTGGTTAACTATACAAAAATCGTCGCCGAAACTACTTAGCAACAATCATTATTAGGATATCTAGTTTAAAAATGTGCCCGATGACCCTGCTTGCCAACCAAGGTGGTCGACATGGCTAAAAATGGAACATTGGGGGTAAAATGCAAAATTTGTCTATTATTTTGAAAACTGATTTAGATGGAGAAACTTGACAGTGGCAGAAATGTTCAAAATGATAATATCTACCTATTGTCTAAATACATCAAAACTGTCAGACGAATTCTTATAGGAGTTATAATATTGCCCTCGAGAATGAAGAATTTTACCTTTGTTTTTCCATTTTTGACTACGTATCATCTTTAAAATTATCACAAAGAGAAACTTTTAAAAGCAAACATGATCAACAAGACAAGATCTACAAATAAGTTAACATAGTTGAAATCGTCAGACAACCCTTTATTGGAGTTATTGCCCTTACATGGCGATTTTATCAATTTTTTGCATTTTTGCCAAATATCTGTAAGATAGACAGAAACGTAAATAGGCAAAAATGATCAGCAACTATCATTGTTGAAATCGTCCGACGACCCCATGTTTGAGTTATTTCCCTTTAATGACGTTTTTACCATTTCTTTGCGTTTTTGCCTAATATCTGAAAAACTATAATTGATAGATAGAAACTTTTATATGCAAAAATGATCAGCAAGACAAGATGTACAAATAAGTCTTCTGACCGAAATCGCCAGTTCACTCCTTATTGGAGTTATTGCTCTTTATTGACGATTTTTACCCATGTTCCGTGTTCTGCCTCTATCTTGAGAACTATTATAGAGAGATAGCTGCTTCAAATAGCAAAAAATGATCAGCAAGAGTAGATCTACAGAAAATTTAATATGGCCGAAATCGTCAGTCGACCACGTATTGGATGTTTGATGACGATTTTTACCAATTGTTTACGTTTAAGCCTATTTTCTTGAAAATTATACAAAAATAGACAATTTAAAAGCGAAAATGATCAGCAAGACACGATCTAAGAATAAGTCATTTTTTGCCGAAATCACTAGTAGACTCTTTATAGGAGTGATTGCCCTTACATGACAATTGTTTTGACTTTTTTTAGTGTTTTGGGCAAAAACTAAAGAAGATAGAGAAAATATATAAACAGAAACATGATCAGCAATACAAGATCAACATAAAAGAGATTTTTGTCATGAATTCTATTCTAGCCCGCAATGTTGGAGAGTGTTCATTGTTGAAGATGCACGTATACCTAGGAGAGCGACACAGGTTCTTTAGAGCCTCTTGTTAAGAACACTTTGGCATAAGTACCAGATTACAGCACACAAAACGCCAGATATAATAGTTTTGTAACTGAATAGATAAAAACACTCACTGTTTAATATCTTCAAGGTAGGTATAGTGTCCGGCTTGGATCGTGGTTATTCGAGTGATTTGATCGGGTTTTTTTTAGTGTGACCACTTTTTTTCGAGTGAATATGATCAAAAATGTAAACAGACTTCCTTTCTGGTAAAAAGTGAAAAAAATATGCTAGAACCTTATATACAAGATCATAGAAGGTAAATTAGTATTTTTGATAGAAAAATATTATCAACCCTAAATTACTTTGTTCTAAAAACGTTTACTGTGGATTCATTCATTTTCGTGGGTACCAATTTTCGTGGATTGAGGAAAACTTGCATTTTCGTGGATATTTGATTTCGTGGTTTTCCATAAGTCTGCATACAATCATACAGCCAATTTGCAATTCGGTGAACATTTAAATCCGTGGTTTTCCTGTACCTACGAATTACATGAAAATTGGTATCCAACGAATAATGATGAATTCCCGGGAATAAAATTGAAAAAAAAAAATTTTATGACCGACTCTCACTACACATTTTTTCAACACCGACGTTGCTGTGCATTTTTCAAATATTATCTATTTATTTTTTTTTTATTTGTGGAAAATTTGAAAAATTTATTCTTTGGGGAATATTGGAGAATATTTTTTTTCTTCACTTGGTTTTTTTTTTTTTTTTTTAATCTGAAATTATTTTTTTTATTATTATTATTTCCAAAATTTTAATTTTCATAATTTTGGCAACCATTTTATTTTTCGGAAATTTTGGCATATTTTTTATCCCCTTGTGAACTAGGGTGGGGGTGTTATTTACACCCGGTTAATTAACTAATCAGATTGCAAGATTCTTGTTTAATAAGAAATAATGTTTTATCGTTCTAGAAAAGGAAATCAAGAACAATGTTTAATTGCTCCTACTGTGAAGAGGAGTCTGATCAAGGGTATGCTATGCCTGGCCACACAGTGATAAAAAAAATTGATAATGTATATTTGTGAGGTGAACGCATATCATATACACATTTATTCTTTTTTTCAATATTATTTCAAAAGGATCGTATTGAAGCTTGCAGATTATTTATTTCGTTGTTTATTGAATACATTGGACAAGTCCCCGAGTTTATCATCAGCTCAGTAGTCAGTACTTCGGTAGTGACATGATTTATAACAAACCTTTCTAAAATTATTTACCTCCAAGGGGGACAGGGAAAGAGAAATATGGTCACTTAAGTCCTCTTCCTAACGACTCCTGCCAAAGTGAGACGTCCGTTTGGCTGTGTGAGATGTTCAAGAACGCAGCCACGTCCGGTCACAATGCAGCGTGTAGAGAGAGTGCTACGCTCATTGAACGTTGAGAATCCTTGCAACAGCTCTTTGAAGGGTCCGTAGGTTCTGTTACAGGACCTTCTTATTGGATCTATTGTTAATTTGTTCTCGTCCTGAACACGCACGACACATTTGCCACTGGATGTTAAGCAACCAACAATGAATCATTTAGAATTGTCCATTTATAAATCTAAAAATTATAAAGAGGCTAAGGTTTCAACTCCATATAGCATAACATTGTAAAGTGTTGTTTTCATTTTTATTAGATATTCCATTCAATTCAAATGTTATTGTAATTTATTAATTTTGAGGGTGGAGGTGGCTCCTCTTTAAGTACAATATTTGGGTTTATATTGAATTTTTCTGATTGTTTACTCCTTTTCCTAGTTTTCTTGCTCCTATGCTTTTTCGTCATTGTAATACATATCAATCATAAAATATTATTGACTGTAAAAACAAAGGTAGCATGCAATGAAATTAAATAAAATTTGATTCTGAATAAAAACTGAGACAGTTTGAAATTTTTTTTATTTTAGCGCCAATTTGGCTCAAACCGTACCTTTTCCCTTTGTCAATTTCAACATATAAATGACATCACTTTGAAATCGTCGGTCACCTCATTTTATGAGTTTTGGCCCCTAAATGATGATTTTTCCCAAATTTTGCATTTTGACCAGAAATATAGTAGATAAAGAAAAACTGTAAACAGCAAAAATGATAAACAGTTCAAGATCTACAAATTTGCAAGATGGCAGAAATTATCAAATGCCTCCTTACAGGAGTTATTGCCCTTTAATGATAATGTTTATCCATTTTTTTTTATTATGACAACACTGTGATAGATAAAGAGAAATTGAAAAAACAGCAACAATTATGAACAATACAAGATCTACAAATGTGTCAATCAATGACTAAATTGTCAGTTCACTCCTTTTAGGAGTTATTGCAACTAAATGACGATGTATACCCTTGGGAAAAAAGCTATAGAAGATAAAGAAAAACTGTAAAAAGCAAAAATAATCAGTAATACAAGATCAACAAAAAAGAGTCAAGAATTATATTTCAGTCTTTAATGTTGGAGAGTGACAATTGTTGAAAATGCACATCGATCTAGGTGATCGACACTTTAGAGCTCTATTTTTAACATAAATCAGGCAGTTGATATTTTCGTTTGAATTGTTTGACATTTTGTCATGTCTAGGAATGTTATATCTTACTATACGGTTTGAGATTTGCTCATTATTGAATGCCGTATGGTGAGCTATAGTTGCTTACATCTACCTCATTTGGTCTTTGGTGGATAGTTGTCTCATTGGCAATCATATCTCATCTTTTTTATTCTTACCATAAAATAAAACATCTGAAGTAGTCATATATTGTATAAATAATAGTTTTCTAAATAAAAAATTCACTAATATGATCATAATTCAAATGACAAAAATCTGTTGTTCTGTGGTTATTCATACATGGTGTTTAATTACTTTGGATTTGGATTTACGCAAAGAAATCAAACTGTATGTTTTGTTGCCCCCCCCCCCCTTTCCACCCCCCACCCCCAAAAAAAAAATAAAATGTAAAAATCATTGTCAATTATTTTTGCTAAATACAAAGCAAGTTACAGACAGTTTCGTCGGAAAATTCAAGAAAAGATTTTAGAAATGTCCACAAGTGCTTAGACACACAGTTCATAGTAATTTCTAATCGATCTCTGATATATTGAACTCGTATAGCTTATTTAGATCATCGAGATATTAGAACGTATCAACTTCGCCCAGAATCATACTAAGCCTGGGATCTTTGATGAGTTTTTCTAAAGCCATGCATGTTTATATTCTATGTTTTACATAGGAAACGACAAACTCCATAAACTGACTGCCCAGGATGAATATGAACTTTTGATAACGATGCAGGACTTTGGAAATCAAAAGCGTTATGCTAGATATTCAAACTTCAAAGTTGGTAATGAAGCGACTAAGTTCAATATGACATATTCCAAATTTACTGGAGATGTTGGTGAGTAATCTAATTATTTGTTTGTGTCAAAATTAGGGGAAGTTGAACCTATTTTGACTGTTTTGTTTGGGCCTTTTGGTTTTTATGCTCTTAAATGTTATGGTTTATTATACTCCAAACGTTTTGTATTGAGCCAACCTGATGACGGTTATTCAAGAAGCACGTACTGTTCGCAGGGCAATCGGTTTTGTGTTATTTCACTTTCCGTTCGACATAAAGCTTTTATCACGTTATCAGTTTCTCCAGTATTTCAAATTGTGATAAGTATTTATAAAAAATAGGATGCATTACACAGTTACCAAACAGCACCCCAAACAACACCCATGCTCATGTGTAGTTTACCATATTTGAGAGATTCAAGTAACAAGATCTTGAAAAAGAAATTTCATGATGTTATTAAGTTATTGCCTTAGTATTTTAGTTACGTTCATGCTGCTAAATGTTAGTGTGATTTCCAATGAGACAACTCTTCACAAGAGACCAAATGACACAGAAATAAACAACTGTAGGTCACCGCACGGTCTTCAACAATGGGCAAGGCCATACCGCATAGTCAGCTTTAAATGGCTCCGAAATGACAAATGTAAAACAATTCAAACGAGAAAACTAACGACCTAATCTATGTACAAAATAATGAACGAAAAACAAACATGTTACACAGCAACAAACGACAACCACTGAATTACAGGCTCCTGACTTGGGACAGGCACATACAGAATGTGGCGGGGTTAAACATGTTAGCGGGCGCCAAACCCTCCCCTATCCTGGGACAGTGGTGTAATAGTACAACATAAGAACAAACTATAAAAATCAGTTGAAGAAGGCTTAACTCATCAGATGGACCCAAATAGAAATACGTCTAACAAAACACAGAGTGGACGTGGCAGGGTACTTATAAATCCCAACAACAAAAAAGAAACTAAGTACAGATCCTCTGTTTTTAACTGTCTTCTCCCTCCCCTTAGTTCTCTTTTTTTGTTTTCATTTCGGTCACAATCACGTTTATTCAGTAGTGGCACCGTTAATGTTAGTACTACCCCTGGGTCGATACCTCTGCTGGTGGACTGTTAGTCTGAGGTATCATCAGCCCAGCAGCACGAAAATACAAATATTTTTGGATTGAAATTTCTGTGAATTCATTTTAAATTCAGGAATATTTCTCCCTCACGCAAAGCTCTGAATCCTTGTCTGTATTTGACTAGACTTTACGTCCTTTTTGGTTACGAAAGGATCATCAATTGTGGGAATGTGCATCTGGTGCAGTAAAATTGGTACCGTTAATGTTATAAGCGAACATGATTTTTTTTTCTCGCGCCTGAACGTTTCTTTAATGTACTTACCGCCTAAATCGTCCATATTGAGAAAAGAAATCAATATTGCGAAAAAATATTCATATATCGTAAACTGTTTTGCTTAGCATTGTACCATAAAGAATATAGAAACATCCTATGGATGAAGATCAATATTTTCCTTATCCTATCTAGATGAAGCAGAAACATGGATGGTAGTACGTAAACAAATCATGTGCATACAAACTTCTTGCTTTTATTTTTAAAGGTGACTCCTTAAAGCATCAAAACGGACATGGCTTCACTACAAAAGATCAAGATAATGACTCTAATTCAGGAAACTGTGCTGTAAGTTATAAAGGTGCCTGGTGGTACGGAACCTGTCACGATTCCAACTTAAATGGACAATACCTAGGAGGTGAACACTCTTCTGATGCTGATGGTGTAAACTGGAACCATTGGAAAGGCTATCATTACTCTCTTAAAGCAACATCTATGATGCTACGTAGAATGGAATGAAACTGGTGATTAAATTCAAATGAGCTGAACTAAACATATATTTAAATAAATTATGACTGAAGAAGAAGTAAACTTTATAAGTGATTTCTGATATATTCGGGGTCTTAATTTTCTATCTGCTAGCAATATTGTTATTTCTGACTTTCGACCTAAAATACTGGCGCAAATACTTGATATTATGATAGCTAAAGAGGACTTTTTAGCTTCGAAACACATACTTGATGATTTATACAGCAACAGAAATTCCATAGGCAGTAACAATATAATGTTAAGAGAAAGTAAATTTCCTGAGAACCTTTTTGCGACATTTAAGTGCGTTTTATAATTTGTACTTCTATCAGTTTGATATTTGATTTGCGTTATCTAAAATAGTATAATAGTTTCATGTTTGTGTTTCCGACATTGATATCCAATTCAACATTGCTTGCAAAATTTCATCATTATCTGTGAGATTGATTATTTTTGTTCCTTTATATTAATATAAAAAAAAAATACGTCAAGCTTTCACAAGAAAATTAAACATCATAGTATATAGTTTTTACTGACAAAAGACAACTTTCTTTATTTCGAATGAGAGAATCAAGATGTAAAACACAAAGCATACAAAGTTTGGAGTAGAGCTTATCATTTTTGGAATCAAGGTTATGATTTTGACTGGGGGATATTTCATCCCAATAGGGTACATCCTAGATTTGATTTTGTTTATGTAGGATATATTTTTATCAATGCTATTTCCTTGCCTCTTGGTTCGTTGCCCAGCTTTGGCGATGCTGTTTGTCCTTTTTGGTTTGTGAGCTCTTCATTTTTTAAATAAGGTTTGGCTTTTCAAATATTTTAACCTGGAGCATCACTGAAGAGACATTTATTGTCGAAATGTGCATCTAGTGCAGAAAAATTGTTAACGTTAATGTTATTATTTTGTAGATCTTTTTCCGTTTTTTTTCTCTATATACCAACAAAAATAAAATAAACTTTAATTAATTAAATAATTAGCTAGCCATTTAATATTAAGTGTTTGCCGCAGGTCATGGTTCACGAGGTATAACAACCTTAAGACTCAATATTTTTCAAATATTATGATATTAAGACTAAATTTTCTGACAAATATACATAAAAAATAATGCTTGATATATTGATTAAGAATATTATTCAATAGAATTCCCCTTTTCTTGTACCAATAGATCCTTATAAGAGAAAACTGCTTCTTAAGCTTCCTAAACAAATAACTATTGTCTCCTTTTGCATTTATATACGATCATTTAACGGCAACGTTTTGATAACAGGAGTTTGTATTTAAAAAGGATTGAACTTTAATTGAAGAGACCAAGTGATCACATATCCCTGACTTTTAACATGCATTGGAAAGGAAAATGCGGGTAGACTTCATAACATTTTATTTCATTGAAAATACTTAAATTACATCACACAACAGCATTCCGCGATGTTATAAAGTTTATTTTCTTAATCTTTGACTTTTTACTATGAGTTTCTGTATTTTTTGTTCTTTAATCAAAACTATGGGCCATCAATTTGAAAGTGTAAAAGTCAACCTTTATTTGCTCCGTAATGGTAAGTAGTTCCTGTTCCACTGGTGGCACCCGTCGTGTCGCTCATTTCAAGTGAACAGTTGGCTTTAAGTCGCATTCGGTGATTTCACCATCGAGAAAAGAGGATCGGACTTTGGTTACTACAGCTGGAACATATCCTCCATCATCTGTGACATACTATTCCATAACGATCAATAAAATCAGTTGGGATTCGCAAAAAGAAGAATCCTTGGTCCAAAGTTTCCTTGTAAGTATCAACTGTCGATCATCATGATAAGTGACGAAAACCTTGGAATATCGTTAAACCTTGAAAATCTATTCTTCATATGTAGGCGCCGTTTATGTTTCTTTCGAGAAATGGAAATTGGACACTTGTGAACTTGAAACGATTTTTTTTGTTATATAAGGTCTTAACCGACCCGCAGCGTAAATTTCTAGATTCCATCAAGCTCAATTGAATAGATGCTGTCAGAGTAAATGTGTAATGATTTTTACGGCCAGAAATCACCTTTAAATTATAGAAATCCTTTGAGAATTCTTATATATTTATGTCTGTTAGTAAAATTCATCTTCAATATATATATATATAGTTATCACGGAAACTTCTAGAATACTGTAGAAAGAAAACTTCTAGAATAATATAGAAGTTTAAATTACTCATCGTAGATTATGATCATTTTGGAATAATTATGCAAGTCAAATAGAAAGTTCTAATCATTCTATCAGTAACTACGATTGTTCCAGTGACTTCTAAACTACACAATAACATTGTTTTGTAAACAACTATAAACAGGTCACAACCCAATTATGTAAACATCGTATAAGACAAATTAGACCAAGATAAATAAACATTATAATTACAATCTCATTACATGAAGACTGCCAAAACCCAAGTACAATTATCAGTAAAATACAGAAAAAAGTTAACAGAAATCGATTGCTTTTCTTCAGATACACAAACTGTATCTCGAGGAAACTTCTGTCCAAGTTTCATAACATACCATGTAATTTTTACAAAGAATGGAGGTATCAAAGTATAATTCAGTGTTAACTGTAAACAAACGAAGTTCACTTATCAGTAAGATACTGAAAAAAATTGAAGTAAAAACAACTGAAAGAATCGCATTAACTCAAAAACGAGTAAGACTGGATACGTCGACGAAATAAGCGTATTCTGCTATGCATCCATACCCCCAATGTGAATCTAGACTCGGTCAAAATGTCATGATAAGGAATATGACACAATCAGTACAATTATTCTTGTATCTTAAGATCTAAGACCTCAAGAGAATGTCTCTTGTGAGCTGAGACACAGACACATCGCATTGGTAAACCAATTCTTGAGAATGAACGTAAAACGTTTTTAGTTTCAATTAAGGAGTTCTTTCTTATAGTCCTGCATCGGCATTATTTCCGTCTCCTGTTAATGAAGTCAGTATAATGTAAACATACCCAGGTGAAACTTATCAATTGACAGATGTAAACATCATACGACGGGACAGAGGGTATGTTAATGAATTGTCTTCGTTGAATTAAATGTTCGAATTAAATCACAAAGATTTCTACGATTCCCATTTTAGTAGAAAAAACAATGTATTCTTTCCTCAATAAAGCCCTCAAGGAAGTCGTAAGTATATCCGAATGTGTTACTAGTAATTTGACAAAATCTCTGGCTCAAATTCATAACGACATGCCGATTACAAATTTAGTGGTTCAACTCCAAACAAATGATAATATATGTATTATACATAAAAGCTTCTTTAAATAGAATTTTCGAATGATTTTGTAAACACGTTCTCAAACCAAACACTAGAAACACGACACTTTTTAACTTTCAATGATACATTGAATCTAGATCTGCATTTTTCTCACAAATATTTCACCAAATAGCAATTATTCGTTTCCGGCCCGTATTATATTGCGCAGTTAGGTTAGTATATAATACGACGTTTTATTCTACGGTTGAGTTTTGCATCCGCCAAGATGGTCAATAAGGAATCTATGTGGTACTTTGTGATGGTATTCTGTTTAATAATCGTACTAGTAAATTCTATAAGCGTTTCCAGTGAGTATTATTAAAATAAGTCATAGTGCATTTTCTATATCAAAGTTAGGAAACATATCTGCCGTATGTTGAATAAGGGTTGATATGCGTAATTTTGTCAGATGGACCATTATATTTGTCCTTTCAAAGAATGAACAATATATGTAGATGTTGAATAATGCTAAGATTTGTGGTTACCCGAAATACGAGCGCTTTTATTTAGGATAGATTCCACCCAGTCACCAGTGCTTTACGATTGATGCGATTGAAATGATACAAAATTAACGTAAAAAATCCTGGTTATAACTTTGTTTGCAACTCCCTCAAACAAATTTGAATCAAGTTGCATATTTGGCTGTTCCATTTATGTTCTTTTTTATCTATATGTTCATAATTTTTTTTTTTATTCAGCTTTTAAACTTTAAGGCTCGAGCGTATGTGATGAAGATTATGTCGTGTGAATTGAACTCGATATAATACGTCTATTTTTTTAACGTATTGGGTTGAATTACAAAAGTGGTCAAATATTCTAATTTCAAAATATAAATTCGTTCAGCTATTGTGCTAAGACATTAATCTGGCGATACTATATTGACGTCTTAAGTACTGACTTACGAATACACTAAAGACTTAGCTACCAGAGATTTGTACCTGTACCATGTATGATGACCGAATATTCGGGGATTCCAGACGGTCCACAACTTATACAGTAGGTCTGCCTCATATCTTGACTTACATCTAGAAATTGACAATGAGGGTCGGTTGAACACAAAACTGTATTTATTTAAAGTCCAAATAAAGACTATCTGATAGTCCAATTATGATTATCATATCAAACAAATTTCATTGAGTTACGATTATCTTCCTTAAATTTTGGATGGTTGTTATTTTGGTAACTATGTGATATATGATATCAAGAACACACACACACACAACAAAACCTTACAGGTCAACCTGTCGGCTGAGTAATTCTTGAAAACAACACATTTACACGGAGAAACTAATAGAAAATGATTTTACCTATTTCTACCTCCGCCATATTGGGATCGTGGTAACTTCAGTTACGACGATCAGTTTAACACCAGTGAAGCATCGAAAATAAGAGCCGTATCCAACATTAATTTCAACAACTAAATACAGTTTAACTGAAAACTATTATTAAAGAGAAGCGAAAGATACCAAAGGGACATTCAAACTTATAAGTCGAAAATAAACTGACAGCGCCATGGCTAAAAAAGAAAAAGACCAAACAGACAAACAATAGTACACAAAACACAGCACCGTTAGTTTTCTCAATTGAATTGTTTCATATTTTTCATGTCGGGGCCTTTTAAAGCCGACTATACGGTATGGGTTTTTCTCAGGCCGTACGGTTGCCTATAATTGCTTACATCCACTTTATTTGAACTTTGTTAGATAGTTGTCTCATTGACAACCATACCTCATCTCCTTGTTTTTATATAGAAAACTAAAGACTGAGCAACACGAACCCCACCAAAAACTGAGGGTGATATCAGGTGCTCCGGAAGGGTAAGCAGATCCTGCTCAACATGTGGCACCCGTCGTGTTGCTCATGTTAGTACAAACCCGGTGTTAGTCTAATTCGGTAGGTCACATTCGGGGAAAAGGGGACGAGATTGTAGTTACGACAATAGGAACATATCCGCCATCATCTGTGAAACGGATATTCCATAACGATCAACCAACTCGTGATGGCGTCCGTAAAATTTACGAAGAGACGATTTCAACTTCACCACTTGGAACTCTTGGTTTAATAGCTTCCTTGTGAGAAGTAACCCCTTTTTTGAGGAAATCGTGATAGGAAATACAAGCCCTGGAATACCGTATCAACTGGGAGGTATATACTCCGTATGCAGGCGTATGGAAAGTTCACATTTATTAAGCTGAAATCATCTCTTTTGTCGTAAAGTTTTGTTTTCAACCGACCATCATTGTCAATTTCTAGATGTAAGTCAAGATATGAGGCAGACTCAACAGTATCTATTGTATTCTCATCTCCACTTCGATGGGATAGATGCGTTCAACATAGTCACCAAATTTTGAATTATTTATGTGTGCATAATAATTTCATACCATATTTCAGTCGTCCATTGGTGTATGGCGGTGAACAAAAATGATATGCCACTATCGCGTTCGTTGTTATTATGACGCAATCTTTTTATCAAATATTCCGTTAGCAGAGGTTATTGACAGAAATCAGTAACTATTCTCATTGAAGTATTCCACAGTTAGCGTATTTTCCATACAAACCACACATTCGGTACTCCTCGGCATATCCCTACGGCAAAGTTCCGACCTAGCTCATTTCAAAGGTGTTGACCGCGGTTATTCGCCACTTAAATATTTTTTCTTGGATCCGGGCCCGTCTGGCCACCACAGGGGTTGAAAATTGCCCCATAACGTATTTTCCATACAAACCACACATTCGGTACTCCTCGGCATATTACTACGGCAAAGTTCCGAACCAGACCTAGCTCATTTCAAAGGTGTTGACCCAGGCTATTCGCCACTTAAATATTTTTCTGGGATCCGGGCCCGTCTGGCCACCACAGTTTTAGTTGCATGTTAATTATTTGTAATGGCACATTTGATAAGGAAAATATCAGTTTTAGATTAATAAATTAGTAATGTCGCATGCCGTACATAATAGCCCACGTAGGATTTTTATAGAACATACTTGTTCACATTCAAAAAAAGATTTACATTACATGTATATCGAATTGATTTCATTTTATATATACAGAAATTGATATTGAAAATGGTTTCAATTGAAATACTTGATATTTGAGGATGCCGACTGTATGGAAAGCTTGTATGTAATTTTTCTCTCGTTCATTGTATCTTTTTTACTCAGTCATGGAATATATATATCACGATTTCTCATATCTTACTTAAATTCATTATTAACAATATTAGTTGTTCTTTGATTTTTTTTTATTTTCTATTCCTACATTGTTTCTGTACTTCTTAATCATAAGGAATCAAAAAGCGAGAAAAAGAAAGAATAAAACGATTTAAAATTGTATATTTATTTATCAAACGAACAGTGTCCTCCGAAAAAAAGTGGCTGCTATCATTATTGGTATTCAAAACGGACTGAAATCTTTTGAGAACCACCACAAGCCGTGAAATTGTCGAATTCCGTTGTTAAATAATATTTAACTAAGATTTTGAGATTTTTGAAACGTTTGAGTGTTATATAGTTTTCTGGTGTTTAGACATATCATCAAAATTGGCTGCTGGAAAAAAAGTGGCTGCTATCTTGATTGGCTGCTTAAAGTGGCTGCCAGCTTGAGTCTGGTGTTTTTCGATCGCTATTATTTTGGTAACGAGGTCATATATGATATTAAGAAAACAACACGTTTATCCGGAGAAATTAGCAGAAAACGGTTTTACCTATTTCTACCTCCGCCATATTGGGATCGTGGTAACTGCAGTTACGACGATCAGTTCAACATCAGTTCAACACTTTTATTAAGTCAGGAATATGACAGTTGTTTTTCACTCGTTCCGTTGGTTGATAAAGTTTGATTTTGTCAGTTTTTATGGACTTACCCCTTTTTGAATTTACCTTGGAGTTCGGTATTTTTGTTATACTTTTTTAATTTCTGACTTTGCACTTGATATTATTTTCGAACTACTGGACTACTGTCGTCACTGTAAAAAGGATGTTTGGTTCAATGTAATTAAAAATTCGGAAGGGTTCCGCGGAACCCAGTGTCTCGCCTACTTTTGGTGTTAATCGCAGGCTCAACAAAAATGAAGAAAAAAATTAATAAAAATATTCCCCTCTATACTATGTTTTGATTGTAAGTAGCTTCTGTCCAAGTTTGGTAAAAATCCAGGATAAATTATGAATCTAATAAATGTTTTAAAAACTTAAACTGCAGAATGTATGTAATGTTGACTGGAAAAAAAAACTAAGTCCATTTATAAGTAAAATACAGAAAAAATGGAACAAAATTTTATCAAAATTTCCTTCTAGATACTATCTTATGATCATAAACAAGCTTCTTTCCAAGTTTGGTATAAATCCAGGATAGTTTAAGAAAGTTATTGAAATTTCAAAAACTTTAACCACAGAGTGAATGTAATGTTTCCTGGCAGAAAAACTAAGTCCATTTATAAGTAAAATACGGAAAAATGGAATTTTTTTTTTACAAAATTTACTTCTGGATACTATCTTATGATCATAAACAAGCTTCTTTCCAAGTTTGGTAGAAATCTAGGATAGTTTAAGAAAGTTATTGAAATTTTAAAAACTTTAACCACAGAGTGAATGTAATGTTAACTGGCAGAAAAACTAAGTCCACTTATAAGTAAAATACGGAAAAAATGGAATTTTTTTTTTACAAAATTTACTTTTGAATATAATCTTATGATCATAAACAAGCTTCTGTCCAAGTTTGGTAGAAATCCAGGATAGTTTAAGAAAGTTATTAAAATTTCAAAAACTTTAACCACAGAGTGAATATTTGTGGACGCCGCCGACGACGACGACGACGACGACGACGACGCCGACGGAATGTAGGATCGCTATGTCTCGCTTTTTCGACAAAAGTCGAAGGCTCGACAAAAACCACTTGATGTCAGGATGACTTATTTGATGTGGTTTGAAAAGCAGTCATTTCCGTCACTACTTTGTTCATTGCGCAACATATAAATCATATTGGCACATTCAATGGCTTGCGTATATAATGTCAATTGTGATTCAAGTAGAAACATCCTAGATAGATACTTTGAATTTCAAAATATGATTCTGTCATCAATTCTGAGCAAAATTTGAAAATTTGAGACATAAAAACAAACAATTTTACAGGGCTTCATCAGATGATACCAGACAGAGTTTTTTTTTATCTTTTGCAAAGTAGCTTGACATTTTAATCCTTCGAATCTTAAAAATTTCTTGATGCGTTCTTATCTTTCTTTTTTGTTTTTTTGTATTTTTTGGGAATTTGTTTTGGAATTTAAATTTTCAATCTAAATGTATCCAAACTCGCAGTTATCTTATCAGATATTACCAATCACAAATTATGGAACTGAGAAGAAAGATGGCACCGAATTACATTTCTCGTGCCATCAAATGTCTTGCAAATGCCATTAATTTAAAGGCAATATTCTTCACCATGAAAAAGTCAAATCTACACTGCCTTTTTTTTAAGAGATCAGTAAGGTTCAATGATGTCTTGTACATTTACCTAAACCCCCGTGTGCTCATATTTATTTATTATTTATTTTTTCCTTATAATATCTATTCTGTATTCCCCATTCAGACCCTCACTAATGTAGCATATAAATCCAAAGACCCGTTGAAAATTGTTTTCCCACAGACATTTATTAAGAGAAATATCTGAATAATTTTTGTTCTATTTTATTTTCCCTTCAATATCCCCAAAAAATGAAGAACTAAATCTCACTACACTCTACTGGATACAAAATTTCATACGTACCTTTACAAACAACGCTATATTGCTAGGTCTGCCGAATTCTCTACGAAGCCTGTTTCCAATTACGGACCTCTGGTAATATACTGGTATCAACAATCAAAATAGAGGATCAAATTGTCAACGTATATTTGTTCCTAATGATATTTATTCCTGATGGAAACAATATTATAATAATATATGATCTGCAGAATTTCTGTCATGGAATACTTTTTCCATCTGTATTATATTTGTTCCACTGATATATTAGGAACTTATGTTATATGTTGATTAATATAACAAATGTTCCTATTATGCTGGTGATTTTTTACACCTAATTGATTATTATCTAAATCAAAACAGCGTTTTACATGCTGATTTTCTATTATATAATTGTTATTTAATTTGAAAAGTGTTAATGAGTTAGATATATTCACCTGTTCACAATACCTGTATGTACAAACACACATGGAGGATGATGAATATGAAAAAAATATATGTTCCTTAATGATGGCTCATATGTTGAAGGTAAGTAATTATGTTAACAAGTTCATCTGTGAAATATAAATGTAAATTCTAATGAGACAAATATCATTTATATGAAAAATATGCATGCGAGTAATTGTGGATAATTTGAAATAATTATTTAATGTCAACACCATTGGGAACAATTATTTCCCATATTCACGATACCTGTTCTTTTACTAGTATTCTTTCTACTAGTAATATCAGAATAATAATTATACATACCAGTTTACCATTCCGGCATTCATAATAGATAGTACATAATAATATTTTCGGGTCGGAATAGATATTACATAATACTTTTTCCATTCGGAATATATATTACATAATACTTTTTCTATTCGGAATAGATATTACATAATACTGTTTCCATTCGAAATAAATATTACATAATACTTTATCCATTCGGAATAGATATAACATAATTTTTTTTCCATTCGGAATAGATATTACATAATATTATGTTATAAATATTATACCAGTCATGCGATAAAACTTCCACCATAATATTTATCCCAAAGATACTTTATTATGTAACAAAACTTCCTATTGGAATTTATTTTATGTGATAAAAATTCTGAGGCATCGGTCCTTTTATTATGCTTATGGAATATGTATCACATAAAATTAATTCGAATTGGAATTTTTATTACATAATAAATTATCTTTGGAATAAATATTATGGTGGAACTTCTATTCTGGGACAAAATCAGCAATTTGCACATCGACTAAAAGTGGTGTTTTCGAGATTTTCCCAGAACTGTTTAAAAATATAGGTAGCAGTAAATATATAAATCGCAGATCGGTATAAACAATTGTTGTGATTTTGATTGATGTTTTTGTGTGTTAAACCAATCTGGTGAGTACATCCTTCTGCAAACGATTTTTTTTTTAATTTCTTATAATGGAGTTCTGTAGCAGCGTTTTCCAAGTGTAGTACAGGGTTGAGCATTAACAAAATTTTTAACCGCACCCTATTCTATAGGTGCAAGTCCCGAGCCATAAGCTTGTAATCCAATGGTTTTCGTAGGTTGCTGTTTGTCATAATTGTTATTTTTATCTACTGTTTTAGTATAAATCAGGCTGTTGATTTTCCCTTTGTAATTATTTCATATTTTGTCATCCCAGGGCTTTACAAAACTAAGTAAACGGTATGAGGTTTGCTCATTGTTGAAGGCTAAATAATGACCTGCATTTGTTCACATCCTTGTCCTTGATTATTGGTGGATGGTTGTCTCTTTGGCAATCGTGTAACATCTCCTCATTTTAATGGATATTTGTTTTCTTTTTTTAAAGGGTTTGAATATAACCCATTTTTATTTTTAGTGTTTCAAAGATTTTACATATATGTTGAAATGAATTATACATTAAGGCAGCAGTAACTGTTGTTTACCGATGTTCAAATGTCATAAATCTATTTAAAAAATACAAATCAAGGTAACAAACAAAAATCAGAGGGAATCACAGAATCGCATTCTGAATCAGTACCTTTCTCGAAGGATAAGAATGTTTTCTCAATCTTGATTTACAGCACTTGCATTGTGTGATTTTAAATTTATAGGCAGATCTTACATCGGTTTTCCCTCTGACTGTGGTGGCATCGATATCAAGAAAGGCAGTGGTGTGTACATGATTTACCCTGAAGGAGTTGAGGATGGATTCAATGTATATTGTAATATGGAGACAGACAACATAGGGGGCGGATGGACGGTGAGTAGAACAAGAGAAAGGGCACCAAGGGCTATCAAACACCATTGGTCGATAATCCCATGACCAAAAAGACAAACAACAAAAAGACAAACAACGAAAAGACAAACAACAGTCCACAATGTACTACACACAAAACTAAAGAACGACCAACACGAACTCCACCAAGAACCGGAGTGAGCACAGGTACACCGGGAGGGTAAGTAGTTTCTTCTCCATTGGTCATGGCAAGTAAAATTCAATGATATTTCGCATTCCGGATGTCATAATCATAATCATAATAGGAAACGCAAGCCCTGGAATGTCGTTACAATTGGAAAAACGTTACTCTTTCTGTGGAAGCTGTTGGATTGTTGCTAAAGAAATAGAAAGTTCAAAATAATGTATCTATAATTTATCAGATTCGATAAGGAGTGCACCTTGAAAATCTTGGAAAACATGGGAATGCTGGAAAGCCGTATAACTGTAACAGATCACATACAACCCCTCTAAAAACTTGCTGAAGCATAACTGCCTTTAATATTTGTTTTTACGATTTTTAAATTTTTGAGATTTTTTAAACAAACGAATTAAAATAAAGGCGTTATGGACATTTCAAGTAGTAATACGATACTTTTTACAACCATAGGTGTTCCAAAAACGACAAAATGGTGCGGTTGATTTTTACAGAGGATGGAATGATTATAAATTTGGATTTGGAACTTTGGATGGAGAACACTGGCTTGGTATGCTTTCTCGTAATGATTTCTACATGTATTTTCTTTACATGCTATTAGTATACATTCACTAACAAAACATGTATTAATAAATGTAGAAAACTAGAAATATACCTTTTTAACCGCCAATTTATAAGATCTGACTTTATGAGGTACAGATTTTTTGATAATGTTTGTAAAAGTTTTCTATTTCTCGTACTGTTTCCTCGGAAGCTGATATATAGTGTCTGTTTATAAGTTTAATTCAATGAAACATTTACAGAACTTTCTGGATATTTGAAAATATGTTACCAATTATTTGAAAATCGAAAAAATTGTCATATGTCGAATGATTCGCAGGAGACAGATTGTTACGCTGACGTATTTCTTGAAGGCACAGGTAATCTCAATTCGATACATTAAAATTTGCGTTTTACGTAATGCAAGCTTAAAATACAATATTTATCTTCTAGTTTGACGGTAAGTTTTAGCCAATGAAAAACATTGTAATATAAAAATTGCATTAGAATGAAACAATAACCCAACGACAATATAGAAAACATAAAGGCTTTCACAACAAGGCTGTATTCTAAATTTCCACGACTCTATATAGGTTTTGTCAATTTATCTGAATTTTTAGATAAATAAAAAAAATCTCTATATATGGAATTTGTATCAAATCGTTTGCTCGTAGCATGGCTGTGTCAAAGTGGCGATATTAGTATGACCGAAAGTATTTTTTACATCTTCTTATCTTTTAGTGACTTATTCCAATATTCCTTGTTTTACTTTTTTATCGGTGTTCATCCGTATATCTGATTTCTGGATAAAAGGACCTGTAAGAAACATACACTTTCATTTGAGAGATTTTAAAAGAACAACTCAAGGCATATCTCTTTAACATGCCAACTGAATTTTTTTTTTTAGTTGGGCATTTTTATAGATACATAGATAATAATCCACGAAGTTGCATTTAACTCATATAATACATAATAATATAAATTACTATAATGTATTATCAATAATGATTGTTTTGATGTATTATATATAGGCAACGAAAATCTCCATATCCTTACCTCCCAAGACAAATACGAACTCTTAATTACGATGCAGGACTTTACCAATCATACTGGATATGCAAAATATGCAAACTTCAAAATCGGGAACAAAGAATCAAAATTCAAGATGACCATTTCATCCTATACTGGCAACGTTGGTATGTTTGTTTACTTATTTTTGTCAAATAAGATTTATATAAATTTGCTTTTGTGCTGAAACATATTTTTGCATGATTTTGTTCTATGACATATACCCAGCACGTCCTTCTCTTCATTATATGTAACTCTACTCTTCCTAACAAATTCTCATTCAGATATTTTTTTTATCATTTAAAGAAAACAAAATATTTACATATGAAAAGCGACACTAATACTATTTTTTTACATGAGAAAAATAAATCCATCTTAAATATTAAATAATCTTCATGGAGTGACGTATGTCATTTATGTTGATTAAAACGTAGGTGACGAAATAACTTAATGCAAGATTTTTTTTCGTGCTTAAGAAAAAAGAAGTAGTCCTCGAACTATAGGTTTTACAATTGGTGACTTTGAATAGAATCTTCATTCTTTTAACGTTTTGGAAACATTGAACTGAAAATGGTCTTCAAATGAATTATGGTGAGAGAAGGAACATCGTTATTTACGGGAATGATGATGAATTTATACCTACTTTTTTCAAAGGTGATTCACTTAGCAGCCATAATGGGAAAAACTTTACTACCAAAGACCAGGATAACGACCAGTATGGAAATAACTGTGCTTCTATGTTTAAAGGTGCATGGTGGTACGGAGCCTGTCATTCTTCAAACTTGAATGGACAGTATCTTGGCGGGAAACATACTTCACACGCTGATGGAATTAATTGGAAAACTTGGAAAGGCCAATACTACTCATTAAAGACAACCAACATGATGATTCGTAGGAAAAAATAAATAACCTTCGCAAAATTTGTAATTTATAAAAATCTCTTTTTTAATTGCAATTCCTTAAAAACTAAAGTGAGGCAAAACAAATTAAAGTAAAACAGATAGAAAATATTCAACATTTGAATAAAATGAAATGAAAAAGATTTTTTTATTGTCATGAAAAAAGTTATTACTGATTACGCACAAACGAAAAGAACCTATCAAATTTGGGTAAAAATTACAATATTTATGATGATATAAAAAGAAAGACATGTGGTATGACTGCACATAATATATCTACCATAGAACAATATATCTACAAGAGAACAATATATCTACCAGAGAACAATATATCTACCAGAGAACAATATATCTACCAGAGAACAATATATCTACCAGAGAACAAAGGGCGAGGATTGTAAACAAATACAAGTTACCGTAATAATTTCATGTGTATTCGCTTGATACTTTTCAGAAGGACAATCTGACATTTATTCTAACCATATACTGTTGAAGAAACTTTGAATGTCTTCCTTTGCTTAGGATTGGATATGTTTTTACATCTTTTTTACATTAATTTAACTACAAATGGGTCTTGACAGCTGCTAGTGGACTGTAATTTCAGAAAATTCAAATTATACGCCCTAATCGTCAACTTTTAGTTTATAAATTATGTAGTTGCACTAAAACATGACAACATGACTGAAACGCCATGAGGCAAAGTTGACCTTTGACGCTTCAAACTATTGTGTTAAAAAGAGACATCAAAAAACATGTAAGGATCAGTTAGAAATGGCTCAATTCAACAGATTGGTACGAAGCACCAAAGCAACTAACATAAAAAAAGACACTTAGTACCTAAGAGTACTCGCAGGTACTGAAAGCTAATGCAAAGTCAATTACAACTACATGTAATAAATCATGTTCTCTCCCAGACTACAGTATCAATCAGTTATAACACCCAATGAAGAGCTGATGAACAATTTTATAAAAAAAACACGACCTTTTGTGATGCTAAAGAATAAGTAAACATTATCGACAGGATGAAGGATCATAATTTTTCATAACTGTTTAGCAATACATATTTAGTTATGTTTTTATTTATCAAAATTTATTGATTAGTTGCTAATACATGTATCTACAACATTTGGTCTCTAGTGGAAAATTTTCTAATCGGCAATCATTCCACATCTCCATATTTTATATTAAAGCATCGACAAAACAATAGTTTTACGAGTTTCCTACTGTGTTAAATTGTTTACCCTTGAGATTAAATTTATTCAAAACATTAAACATGTTTGTGAGGGCTCAACCGCCACAACCTGGGATAGAGTTGTTTACAAACAAACTATAAAAATCAGTTACAAGTGGAAAAGACTTGACTCTTCAAGTCAGCACTTTGCACATAAAAAACTCATAACAAAAAGACAAAAACACAAGGTACAGATTAATATTAAGAGTATTCGCATTTATATAATGAAAATAACCCTTTATTAATTTCAACAATAAAAATATTATTGAGTATACATCCAATGCATTAACTGTAAAAACGTCATAAACAAGTATTCTTCGTTTGCAATTTGTGTTTTTGTCTGTCAGTCCGTCAGAAAAATTTGAAACTTCATTTCTAGAATCATTGAAGCAAAGGAGTCAAAATGTTTCCTAGGACGGATATCGAAAACTATTAACTTTATTTTTGTCTTGTCTTGTTTGTTTGTTTTTTTTATTTTTTTACTACACCAGGCTTGACTTTGAAGAAAAACATCATACGTGATAATAAGTTTATTGTACAAGGGTGTGGAGAGGGGGAGGAGGGGTACCCCAATTCTGTATTATTTAAGCAATTTTTCTCTATTCTTCAATTTTTTTGCCCATTTAAATAAATGTTTTGAAGGAACAATTGCGTGGAAAATATACATAAAAAAAATTACACGCAATATTTGTTAAAAATGACAGATTTGCTATATCTATAAATCCTATCACTGTCTTGAAACTACTCCTGTTCAAGGGCAGTCTCTCGGAAAGAGCCCAGTATTACTGACTTTGCACTCCAATAACCTGTACTACATTTGATAGAAAAAAGTGCCCCTATTAGCGAAAATGTAACCAATCAGTTATTTCATCTCCCTCGTGTATATCTGTAATGGAGCCTATATATACAAGGTAAAGATGAGTCCTTTTGCTGATATAAAAACAAGATAGTGTGGCATAACTGCCAATGAGACAGTTATCCTCCAGAGACCAAATGACGTAGATGTTCGCAAACAGAGGTCACCGTACGGCCTTCAACAATTAACAACACCTATACCGCATAGAAAAAAAGGCATTCATGACAAAATATAAACCTAATCAAACGAGAAAACCAATCGAGAAATATGATCTTGAAAGAATAAATAACGGTGTCAAGTATTGCAAAAGAGGGACGAAAGATACCAGAAGGACAGTCAAACTCATAGATCGAAAACAAACTGACAACGCCATGGCCAAAAATAAAAATACAAACAGACAAATAATAGTACAGATGACACAACATAGAAAACTAAAGACTAAGCAACACGAACCCCACCAAAAACTGGGGGTGATCTCAGGTGCTCCGGAAGGGTAAGCAGATCCTGCTCCACATGTGGCACCCGTCGTGTTGCTTATGTTATTACAAATCCGGTAAATAGTCTAATTCGGTAAGTCACATTCGTGAAAAGGGAAGGGTATTGTAGTTACGACATAAGGAACATATCCGAAATCATCTTTTAAACGGTTATTCCATAACGGTCAACCAACTCGTGATGGCGTCCGTATTTACGAAGGGATGATTTCAACTTCACCATTTGGAACTCTTGACTTAATAGCTTCCTTGTGAGCAGCAATCCTCTATCAAGGAAATCATGATAGAAAACACAAGCCCGGGAATATCGTATCAATTGGGATCTGATCAATCTGATCGTGAAAGATCCGATATCGGATCGTGAGATGATTTTTTTCGAGAAGACACATGCAAGGTATGTTTTAAATCCAACAATTCTTTGAAAAAATAAATATGTCTGTCAAAATGGTTCAACACTATGATGTGTATCTAGGAAAATTCAAAGTTAAAACATTCACAGTTTTTACAAAAGTCACTGTGTGACCTTAAAAAAGTTCCCCAATTTTGTTCAGTTTTGTCTCGCCTTGATGGAGAAAAAAGCGAGACAAAGGTATGCTGTTTCATGCTTCGGTGGCGTCAACAATGTATTAGTTTGTGATTAGGTCAGTCTATGGGGAACCACTACTGGTAGGTCAATGTCATTTGTTATGCAGTTGTATTAGCATTGGGAAATCTCGTTCCCATGGAGATAATTTGGTCCTGCCCCTCACTCATGGTCTATTGACTTTGAAACTTTTGCTTATTATACATGTATTAGTTTGTGATTAGGTCAGTTTATGGTGAACCACTAGTGACAGGTCAATGATATTTGGTATGCAGTTGTTTTACCATTGGCACATCTTATTTCCATGTCAATTATTTGGCCTCGCCCCTTCAGTCATGGTCTATTGACTTTGAAACTTATGCTAAGTTTACATGTATTACTTTGTGATTAGGTCAGTTTATGGGGAACCACTATTGGTAGGTAAATGATATTTGGTATGCAGTTGTTTAAGTATTGGAACATTTCATTTCTATGAAGGTTATTTGGCCCCTCCCCCTCAGTCATGGTCTATTGACTTTGAAACTTTTGCTAAGTTTACATGTATTAGTTTGTGATTAGGTCAGTTTATGGGGAAAACTCGTCGTATGTCAATGTATTTGATATGCATTTGTATTAACATAGGCACATCTCATTTCCATGGAGATTGTTTGGCCCTGTACCTTCAGTCATGGTTCATTGACTTTGAATATTTTGCATAACTTACATATTAAAGTATTGCTATTTTAATTTCAACATTTGCATTTTACTACATTTATCAAAATTATGAAAAAAGGCGAGACATATGTTTACAGTTTATTTTTTGCTGTTATTTTTAAAAAGTGGAAGACATTTTCAATTGAAATCCAATTATAGATACGAAAATTTCAGAAACTCGGTTTATCAACTTGGAAGATGGATTGAAGTTTTTCCTTGTCACTGGTTGTCTTTTGTTCAATCTTATTTGTTTAAGGTTTGTGCCAAAAAAACAAACACAGTACAAACTATACGATACCACTCAAAAACTATTTACCACTGAAAAAACTATTAAGTGTTTTATTATTTGAGGAATTTTGTATGCAGTTCTTTGATAGCCTCTGTTTTTCACTATTTTTAAGACTCGGTCTATCTATAGGCTGACGTAATGTATAGTTTACCTGTCTACTGTTGAAGGTCATTGAAATCAAAATGTTTTTTGGTTTAATGTCGTTGGGTTTCTTTCTCATTGACGTATAGCACACATCTCGTTCTATTCATAAGTATAAACATCATAATCGAATGACAAATCCATGCATCAACCTCTTTGACGTATTATATTTGCAAAATGAGTAAAGATTAATAAGACAGTGAAAGATAAGAAAAAGATTGGTGTTATTGAACCAGGTGAAAGTCTTTGTGAATCTTAATCGTTTAGATGGAATAAATTGATTGATATATTGATTGATTATTGTTTGCTTTACGTCCAGTGGCAAACATTGCATGTATGTTCATGACGAGTACACATTAACAATAAATACAATCAGTAGTTTCTGAAAAGTAGGGGTTGACCTTGGTGAATGGTGGAAAATATTATCTGCCATTGGAAAATAAAGGTATGTTAATTCAGAGTAAATTTAGCGTAGCAAAGGCTACCTACAGACACCTCAGAGTTGTTGGAAGGGTTCATGAACGCGTAGTGAGCGTAAAACCATCTCTTTGCGAGGCATATGATTGAACGTCCCCATTCCGACCAGATGTGGCTGCGTATTTATGCATTCCACACATTCAAACGGACACCCAGCTTTAGCAAATATTATAGCGTTGGAATGGGAGAAGTCCATCCAGGAATTAACATATTTCTATACTCCAAGTCAAGCCTTGGAGTAGGTGAAATAGAAGACTTGGCAACTTAGATTTTGTATCGATTATATAGAGCTAAATAACTTCACCATAAATAAACTTATTTTCGTCATACAACCGAGGATTAAAACGAAACCATGTCGCAGTTCGCCTGGTTTTTCTCCCATGACATGACAAACACGGCCTGAGGAAGTTGAAACCTCAGTTTCTTTATAATTTCAAAATTTATAAACGGACAATTTCAGGTATTCCAACGTAGACTAAATGGCGAAGAATACTTTCACAGAGGCTGGCGAGATTATAAAGCAGGGTTCGGATCTCTTCAGAGTGAACATTGGCTTGGTAGGTACAAACCCTGTTTATGCTTTCTCAGAACATATTTTGAATATTTGGAAAAATTATAATCATACCGATTTTATTTACTCATAACACTTGTTTCCGGAATAACCCTTATTGGGTACCATCGAAACCTAAGTTTATAAGGTAAAGAACAGTAAACATTTAAGAGCATAAAAATGTTAACGGTTTTACTAAGAAGAGAAAAAAATTGACCTTGGTAAACTCCGCCTCGTGGAGTTTTATCTAAGGTTTTAGTACATTTGCATTATTTATAAACTGGAAATTGTCAAAGGCAATATATATCAAAATTTTATTGCATTTATATTACTATCAATTACCTTACCTAAACTATAGTGTCTATGGATATATAAACAACGATTTAAATGTTGGGTGTACATCATTCCTATCATTTTGAAACAAAATTACTATGAAAAACTCCATATCTTGACATCCCAAGCAAATTATGAAATCTTGATTAGAATGAAGACTTTTGAAAATGAAAATGGATATGCTAGATATAGTGGATGATGAAGCTTCTAAATTTACGATGACATTATCTACATCTACATTTACTGGAAATGTCGGTGAGCAATACATTTTTGCAACCATATCAGATGTCAAAATGATAATAATTATGAAATATGTCAAATATTGGATTTTATTTCATTCAGCTTTATTTTTTTACATTGCATAATTCGTGAATTTTCGTTTATGACATTTCGAATAACTTTGCCAATTACAAGTTGTATGAATAAACATGTCGGAAATATTTAAATGAGGTATGTAGACTGAAAACAATGAGTTGTATCCTCTAGATATAAAAAAAGTTTCACTCTATGTGACATGCTTATACATGTAGTCTATTGCCTGATACAAAAAGGCAATTGTGGGAAAAAAAGGTTGTGGTTATTGTCCAGTCAACAGACATGAGGGCTAAGACAATATTTGGTCTTTCTTCTAAAAGTGCCAAATTGTCTATATGATAAACTCTTAGATACTATATATCATCGATACATGTTGTTGTTTTTCAATTGCCCAAATTTTTATTTCGTGGTGCTTTAATTCAATGTTTAATGATGTTATTGGCATTCATCTTTTCAGTATACATAATCTAAAAAAAATGTCTGTACTTTGTACTTTTTATACATTCACTGTTACAAACAAAATGTCATCAACTGTTGCATTAGGCGTCAACTAGAATGGAAACAGATACAATTGTTATCAAATAGTCAAGGTGAACACAAATTAAAGATATAGATACAGATGTATTAATAAATTATTTTCTTTACATTAAACTATGTTTATAGGAGACTCCCTTAGCAGTCATAGTGGTATGAAATTTGGTACAAAAGACCAGGATAACGACTCTGAAGAAGGACAAAGTTGTGCTTTAAGTTATAAAGGCGGGTGGTGGTACGAGAGATGTCATTATTCTAACTTGAACGGAATTTACCATGCTGGGAAACATACATCCTATGCTGACGGTGTGAATTGGAAAACATGGAAAGGCTACCACTACTCACTGAAGGAGACGACAATGATGATACGACAATTGCAATAAATTCATTATTTTGGAAATGAAATAATAGAAAGTTAAAACTATTTATTTGGTATATGTTAGCACATTATTCACACACCTATTAATAAATCCCCTAAAAAAGAACTTTATTTGTTTTAAATCTTACTGTAGACTATTCATTTAATATCTTTGTCGTTCCTGTTATGACATTTGTTGATCAAGAGCTTGCTATTATATTCGGACATTTTCTATCACAATTTTTTAAACCATATACAGCATTAAGAATTATGTGGCACCTTGTAGGATGATTAGGGTTGGAATTATTTTTATTTGAAAGCATATCCATTTAGTTAAAAAAAACATTTTATTGTTAAATAGAAATTAAATCTATATTTTACTAAGGATAGAAAATATATTCATTGTATTTTACTAAAGAGTCATACATGATTGAATTCCATAAAAACTTTGCCGCATTAACCATGTACTTTTTTGTTGCTGTAATAAAAACTTAAATCTTTGGAAACAGGAACTGCTACCCATTATTTTCTAGTTTGTTTAGTCTTCAAGAAATAAAATATTAAAATGTTAACACTATATGTAAGTAATGGAAAATGAATTTAAGCTTTTTCAACATGTACAAAATGTAGATAAGTCTCGACCGTTTGGTTGGTGTTTTTTTAACTTTTAGAAAACGAATAAAATTGAAATTGTTATTTTAAGCCAGTTAAAATATCATCAGTTTTTATCCTATTTTAAAAATAAATGAAATACAAGTAAGTTGTTTTTAAATTCGGAAGATTTGACATAAGATATGCACAGTAAACCCGAGTTTTTCAATTATATTTGGAACACACAAGTCAACACGACTTCAAAGACGGTGAAGTAAAATAAAGACTTAACCCATTGACTTGGGACAGGCATATAAAGGATGTTGAGGGATTAAATATGTTTTTCAGAGCTCAACTCAATCTGAACTTGAGACAGTGTTGTAACAGCAAAACATCAGATCAAACTGTCTCGCCTGCTTTATACTTATGATTGAATTTATGTTGAAAGTCTGTAATATGAAAATTTTAATACAGGTATCACATAAACTTAACATTATTAATGATCCATGAAAATGATGTCAAGATCAGATGAACCATGCCAGACAGACATGTACACCTTACAATCGTTTCATACGCCAGTTTAAAATTACAGTTGTCCTATTGCCTATATAACCTGGTAAACAGACCAAACCATAAAAACTTAACATTGACCAATGAACCATGAAAATTAGGTCAAGGTCATATGAAACCTGCCAGACAGACATATACACCTTTCAATCATTCCATACACAAAATATAGTTGACATATTGCTTATAGTATCTGATAAACTGACAAAACCATGAAAATTTAATATTGACCAATGAGTCTTGAAAATGAGGTCACGGTCATATAAACCCTATCAGAGAGACATGTACACCTTATAATCATTCCATACACCAAATATGATTGACTTATTGCTTAAAGTATCTGATAAACTGACAAAACCATGAAAAAATTAGCGTTGACCAGTGAAGCATGAAAATGAGGTCAAGGTCATATGAAACCTCCCAGACAGACATGTACACATTAAGATCATACCATATCCAAAATATACTGGCCATATTGCTTATAGTATCTAAAAAGGACAAAACCAAAAAAACTAAACATTGTCCTCTGAACCATGAAAATAAGTTCAAGGTCAGATGAAACCTGTCAGTCGAATTTGGACATATATCCTAACCATCATTTCATACACCAACTATAGTTGACATATTGCTTATAGTATCTGAGTTACGGTTTGACCACGTAAACTTAACCTTGATTACTGATCCATAAAATGAGATCGAGATCAGGTGAACCCTATATGACAGACCTGTAAACCTTTATAAGGTATAGAACCACTAATTCAGGCCCGGTCGGAAAGAACATACAAGAAAGTAGTACATATTTTAAACAAAATAGTTCCTACGCATAGCTGTATCTTTGTCAATAGTGGGAATATTTAGGTTGTTTTAGTATCAAATGAAAGCTTGGGGACTTGGGATCACTGTGGAACCCTTGTTGAAAGTTTAATTTGAATAATAAAGAAGTATATGAAATATTAATAGGAGGGCTCATTTGGCCTGTTGTTCAAATCAGAAGTTCCTGTTTTTGTACTATCAAACTTCCGGGAACCAGTACGCTCTAATATGCAATTAAAGGTATGTTGATTTATTCAGCACAAGTCAGGATAAGGTACAGTTTAGACATGAAATAACTGCCACTTTATTTGAACTTAAGACAAAGTAGCCATTAATGCTTGAAATTGCAGAATTTAACATAGAAAGCAATGGGGCTATGAATTAGTGGTTTTATACCATAAGGAAGCCATATACCAAATATAGTTATCCTTTTACTCACAATAATTGAGTATTTCACATGACAAACAAACTAATGTTTTTTCAAGCAGTCACTCAACCATGAAATGAGGTCAACTACAATGGAAGGCGGACAAAAATCAGTTGGAAAAGGCTGGAGTCGTCGGATCGGCTCTCAGCACACGAATAAACCTGAGCAAAAAGACAGTTACTGATTACTAATAAATTCTAACTAGTAAATAAACCATATTTTCCCACACTATAATATCAATCAGTTCACTTCCGATGGGATAATAGGGAATAAGTTACAAACAGTCGGATAAAAACATGGGCTTGTGCAATGAAAAAAAAAGTGTTCATAACTGTATAGCCAAACATTCTTAGTTTAAAGTTTTTAAAAAATCAATTTAATTTTCGATTTATGAGTTTGAATGTCCCTCTGGTATCTTTCGTCTCTCTTAAGTACCGAAGAAGACAATAGACAAGACAAACATCTAATAACAGTGCTAAATTGATAACCTTTCCTAAACATTTTACAATTTTATTTTTCGAAATTAGAAAGGATCAATAATTGTATATGCATCGTATCTTAATCTACGGGTTCTATAAATAACATCATCTTAAAAGTTTGGATGTGATATCCCGTTTGTAATCAGGTTTGTACAGTACAGTCAAACTTCCAAACCAAATTTTTATAAAAAATAAAGAGATGTTATATGATTGCCAAAGAGACAACTATCCACCAGAGTTCAAACGATACAGAAGTAAGCAATTATAGGTCACCGTACGGCCTTCAACAATTAGAAAAACCCTTATTGTATAGTCAGTTGTGAAACAATTCAAACAAAAAAAACTTATGGTCTAATTTATAACAATTCAATTTACGAAAAACAAATAAGACAGACATGAACCAACGGCAACCACTGACTTTGGACAAGCATCTAAAGAATATGGCAGTTTGTATGTATGTCAGGGTTTAGTAAAGGTTTTATGTAATAGATATTGGAATTCCAATTTGTACTAGGACGATTCTGGATCCTACTGAATTCCAATTTGTATTGTAACACACAAGTAATGGTTTTGACACTTTTGAATTACTAGTATTTGATAACAGATTATGAAGAAATCATTGATGGCTACGTGTAAACCTGGAAAATTAAGCAAACAGAGTACTAGTCTTGTGTTGTGGAAAATCATCAGTTTTTTTTTTTATTTAAAGAAAACGTAGTAAGCAATTTCATTTACCAGAAGCTGGTTCTGTTTTATATTTATTTAAAAAAATGAAATAAGAATTAACTGCAACTCTTCAGTAATTAGAATAAGCGTGAGCTGTGGAAAATAAATTCTGTTTTGTATGTAACAAAAGTAATTTGCAACTGTTTTTACTGAGTTTTGAACGAAAGAAGACAATAAAGAAAAATGGTACGTAAATTGTTAATCTTTTTATTTGTTTGAACTTTTCCCACCAGTAATTCTTACAATAAATTGCATGACTTGTTTTCCTTTGAATGCATTTGTTTATGGCCTTTGTGCCAATCTCGAATTTATATATGACAAAAAGTCCCACGATCCGCTAAATTTTAGAAGGACGATTTAATCTATTTTTATTTAATCTATAAAAAATAAATGATGCATTACACAGTTAACAAACATCACCCATGTTCTTGTGTAGTATAGTATACCATATTTGAAAGATTTAAGTGACAAAGATCTGGAGGAAAACTTTTCATGATGTTATATAGTTACAACCTTAGTATTTTAGCTACGTTCATGCTGCTTAATTTTAGTTTTCTCTGTGATGCTTTCTGAACTACTGTTTGTCTACTCTGTTTTTAACTGTCCCCTCTCTCCCCTTAGATTTCTTTTTTTCTTCTTTTTATCTCGGTAACAATCACGTATATTCAGTAGTGTCATATTACGTATCAGGTAATGTTATTACTATCACTGGGTCGATACCTCTGCTGGTGTACTGTTAGTCTGAGGGTATCACCAGCCTAGCAGCACGAAAATACGAATACTTTATGATTGAAATTGCTGTTATAAAATTTTGGAAATTATTTTTAATTAAGGAACATATCTCCTTCATGCACAATTCTGAATCCTCATCTAGATTTGGCTATACTTTACGTCCTATTTGGTTTTATCAGCTCGTCAATGTTTGTATTAGATTTTTGATTTCCAATATTTTTTTCTTCGAGCATCACTGAATAGACATTAATTGTCAAAATGTGCATCAGGTGCAGTAAAATTGGTACCGTTATTGACTTAGCGAACATGAAAAAGAAATCAATGCTGCGAAAGAATATTCAAATATCGAAAACTGGTTTGCTTAGCATTGTACCATAAAAAATAGAAACATTATTTGGATGAAGATCAATATTTTCCTTATCCTATCTAAATGAGACAGAAAAAAAGGTGGTAGTACTTAAAAAAATTGTGTGCATACAAACTTCTTGCTTTTGTTTTTAAAGGTGACTCCTTAAAGCATCATAACGGACATTGCTTCACTACAAAAGATTAAGATAATGACTCTTGTACAGGAAACTGTGGTGTAAGTTATAAAGGGGCGTGGTGGTACGGAACTTGTCCCGATTCCAACTTAAATTAACAATACCTAGGAGGTGAACACTTTTCTGATGCTGACGGTATAAACTTGGACCATTGGAAAGGCTACCATTACTCTCTTAAAGCAACATCTATGATGCTACGTAGAATGGAATGAAACTGGTGATTAAATTCAAATGAGCTGAACTAAACACA